AGTCCCTGACCTGATGACCCTGCCCCAAGGCGCCACCTTAACTAGAAGGTTCGGTGTTAAACAAAAGAATAAGGTACGTCCCATAGATGATTATAAAGCCTCCTTTGTAAATAGCAGTGTATCTCAGACCGAGTCAGCCACGGTGCATACGGTTGATCACATTGCTTCCTTGATCTCTTGCTTCATGAGGGCGTCATGCAACCGTGAGGCGATGCCCACTCTGAATGCCAAGACGTGGGATCTTGCGGACGCTTACAAACAAGTGCCGTTGAGCGAAGAAGCTTTTGAGATGGATTCTTACTTGGTGGTTTTCTGTCCGGACACTTCCGGTCCAAAAGTCTTCCAACAGAGTGTGCTCCCCTTTGGATCAGTGGCGTCAGTCACATCATTCCTAAGAATCGCTCACGCCCTGTGGCGATTGGGAACCAAGTTGCTAGGACTCATGTGGTCATCGTACTTCGATGACTTTTTCTCGGTGGAGATCCGTGACTTCTCAAGACACACCGACCTGGTGATAGCTTCTCTCTTTAGCATTTTGGGTTGGAAATTATCAGCTGAAAAACTAGTTGATTACCACACCATTTGCAAGGTTCTGGGAGTAGAGTTTGACCTGGGAATGTCAGGAGAAGGCCTTTCATGGGTTTACAACACCGGAGACCGGGTAGACGAACTGTGCCATCAATTGGACGGCATCATTCAGTCAGGTTTCCTCAGAAGGTCCGAAGGTGAAAGACTGAGAGGGCGACTACAGTTTGCCTGCGGTCAGCTCTTTGGCAGATCCGCCAGGAACCATATCCGAATTCTTTCCGACCACATCAAGAGTTGCAGGAGTAAACTTGATGATGACACTCTACATGCCCTAAGACAGATCGACGAGCTGATTCGTGCCAATCGGCCCAGGAAGCTCTTAGGGACCTTGACTGACCATTTTCATGTGTACGTTGATGCATCTTTTGACGATGATGGCTACACCGGCATAGGTGGCGCTTTGTACAATAGCTCTGGTCAGGCAATAAAATTCTTCAGTGAGAAAGTAGACATGAGTTTCGTTGAAACAGTGAAACATGAAAACCAAAAGAACATCATTCAAGAGTTGGAGATGCTTGCTTTGCTGACCGCCATTGAAGTCTGGGGTCCCGTGTGGGAAGGCCACAGAGTTGTGGCATTTACAGATAGCGAATCCGTTCGCGGTAGCTTTTTGAAAACTTGGTCCAAAAACTGTCCTTGCAACAAGTTGCTGGCTCGGATTTTCTTCTTGGAAGAATCCCACACATGCCCCTTGTGGCTTGAGCGAGTGCCGAGCCAATCCAACCCTAGCGATGTTCTCTCACGAAGCCAAGTGGCCGTGTGGAAGGGGTTGACGAGGGAACAAGTAGACTTCAGATCCATCTGGAGTCATGCCATCAGTTTCCCGGGGTAAGAGCGCGATGCATGACAGTGAGACCAATTCTCCCCATTGTCAAAAAGAGCGTTTTGCGGCAGCAGCGTTTCGACGTTTCATGTCAGATGAATTTCACAGAGATTGCTGTAAATGAAACCGCTTTTCCGAGTTGTCACCACAGCGAGCGTTTTGATGCTATGTAAGAATTCTCTCATGGAACATGATAGATTTTTACATACTACGAAACGTGAAGAATGTAATGTTTCATTACATGCCTGTGGTGACACTGAACAACATTGGAGATGAGAATGTCAGATGTAAACTGAACTTTAATAGATCTCGAGGATGGTGGTTTTCTTCCAGTGAACATCTTTTCGAATCTTTGAGTTTACGGTGATGATGTGTCGAATTTTTCATCATGTTGCAATTTTGGATTCAAGCTTCAAGTGAAGCATTGTGGCAAGTGCCACAGAAACGACATGGCAAGTGCCAAGACTCATGTCTTTAATTCATCTCAACACTTGACATGTCAATCAATTCACGAAAGTAAACATGAACAAATTCGCAATCATCAACATCATGTTCACTTCAAATTTTTCGTCCCACCCATTCTTAACCCATCCCCAAATTCATTGCCAAGTGATGCAATGACTAACATCATCCAAGTGGATCTCATTTCCTTTTCTCTCTCGACTTCGCCATCCAATGGCCAAACCGTCGTTACAAACTCTCTTTCAACAAGTGTTTATCACACAATCATTTCTTCATCAACTGCAGACCGCGGAGGAGTTCATCAGTGATATTTCCGATCACCTTGACGAGTTTGAAGTCCCACATGAGGACAACTACGTGCAGATCCGCACAGGCATCCGCCAATTGCGTATCCACTTGAACTTCCTCCTGGCCATCCAGTTGCTTGAAGCGTGCCGTGGCCTTGAACGCTACATGCAACGGCACGGTCATTTACCCAATATCGACCTCAACTTTCAGTGACATCGCTGTCAAACGTTACGTTTCTCCATTTGCATCTTCTGGCACGTGCCTACCCGAAGCCAGAGCGCGATGCATGACAGTGAGACCAATTCTCCCCATTGTCAAAAAGAGCGTTTTGCGGCAGCAGCGTTTCGACGTTTCATGTCAGATGAATTTCACAGAGATTGCTGTAAATGAAACCGCTTTTCCGAGTTGTCACCACAGCGAGCGTTTTGATGCTATGTAAAATTGTTAAATTTTTGGAATGTTAAATTTTGGCATTTGCATTTTTGACCAAACCAGCGAAATACATTTGGTGATTCCTCCCATATGCCTTTCCAAAAGGTGAATGCACAATGTCACGTCGATTTGTGAAAAAAAACGACACGACGCGACGAAATTTCAAACGCACCAATCACCGAGACACATGGCAATTCAACTATATCATACTATATCTATATATTCGTTTTCGTGGCTGGCATCTAGATGGGTTTTGGAATCATGATGTCTTCAAATGCAATCGTCGATGTTGACGGTTGTCGCGCTGGTGATGTGACAATGTGACCATTTTCTTTGTTAATTCCAATTGTCATCCCAAATCCATAAGGAATCGCTACGAATTGAAAAAATGAACTTCACTGTTGCAAATGCGCTAAAGTGGCTGCGTAAACATTGGCAAACTGCAAGTATCACATGCAAATGCAAATGAATCGAATTCGTCCGCAGTGGTGTTGTGGGCAATTTTTTGTGCACACGGCATCATAAAGTGATGCAGCATTTGGCTGAGATTGATGTCGCAACAATGAGCTGCATTCAACAGGAAAAAAACAATCGCAATAACTGGACACCCCACGACAAAGTTAAAATTGAAAGCCAGTGTACACAGAAGGACAATCACAGCCATTGTTTTTTTTGGTATTTCCGGGCAACATGGCATGGTTTGCATCTCGCAATGCCAGGCTATTGGCAACGAGTATGTCTGTTGTTTCAGCAGCTGGGTTGCAACGAAAGACATCCCGGGAGAGTCGTGGACGATCAAGTCGTTTGGAGGTTGTTTGTAGCGGTTCACAGCCGATTGGAACTTTGAGTTCTCATGTGACTGCAATTCCAGAGACGCTTTGCCCAATGCTGGCAAGCACTCTCAGCTCTTCCATCGCAAAGGATGGGTTTATGTTTGATTGCATCTTCTTCGCCACAAAACAGGAATTTGATGACGCTTGGCACTGGTCTTGGGCCATTCTGGGTGTGGAACCAATTAACCGATCGGAAAGGACATATGAAGGTAGACAGAAATCCACAGCAGATTCCAGCAACCGAGTGCGCGACAAGACCCGAATTGAGTCCACCTGGAATTTGAAGGAATCTGGAAATCCGTCCTGCGAATTTTACGATTCTGCTGGGGAACTCATCGCCTGTGGTTATGAAGCCATCGTGTACGGTGATCATGGGCCATACATGGAGTTCAATGAGGATCAGATACACTGGCCATCTTTCTGCTACCACAAATTGAAAGGTCCTGGACGGACTCATTTTGAGCACTACAACAAGGACAAGTCAGTGAAGTGTTATGATCAATTTCGAACCGTGGCAAATCAACCAAATCCGCCCCCAGATAATCCTTTTTCATCTGCCAACAACCGTCCAGATGGCTATGCAGACTATCGGCAGGGCAGGTTCTATATCTCGTGTGACTTTTTCTTTGCTGAAGGAGGCAAATGCATTCAAAAAGACACATAGGCGTATTGACTTAGCAAGATATCGGAGCAAAAGTGTGGCATTGGCGGACCAGGGGTTTGACTTCATTCTCAATGCTTACAAAATGACAGAGCAGAGCCCTTGATAGTAATGTAATAGGTGTTGTTGCAAGTTCTAAGTGATGTTCTGGCAGAGAAGCCACTAGCGCCATGTGATATTTGACCCATTGCATGTGGCCCACAGATTCAGAGGTTTGACCACCATCCTGCCCAGATTGTAAGACCTGTGTGGCCATGGCTCGACGATCCAACATCCTTGCGGGTGCCGTGCTGCTGGCTGGTCTGGCAGCATTGAACTCTGTGTCCTTCGTGAATCCTCAGCCAGTTGAGCGAAGCAGCCGCATGGCCATGAAGGGCTCTGCTGTGGAATGGGTACCAAAGCTTTCAAGGGATGTGGTGGAGGTGATGTTCACTGCTCCGGCGCAGGGTGCACGCTCCCGAATGCTCATCCGGGCTGATGCTGATGTGTCAGAGGTGATCAAGCAGGGCAGGAAGAAGCTGGGATTCGACCAGGACTGGATGCCCGACTCCGACTTCAAGCTCTACAATGCTGAAGATGAAGATGCTGGACCCTTGAAGGGCAAGATGAGTGAGAATGGCCTCATCGACTTCTCCTACGAGATCCACCTGTACTACGAGCCTCAGTGAATTGGGTGGCGCTTGAGAGTCGGATTTTTTCTCTAATCATGCCTTATGCCAGTCCGTGGCAAAATTTTTGCACAGACTGCAGAGCGAAGTAGCGCGATATTTGAAGGTTTGGTGAGGTGTTGTGCAGATGGATAGAGGCAAACTGTTTTCATTTGTTTTCAAAATCACTCTACTCAATGTTAAACTATGTCTCGAGGGTCTGGATGAAAAACGAAGAAATAGAGACAGTTTTGCTTTCATGCAAAAGCGGTTGGCATAAAGTCATCAGGTCATTTCCCATGCTTCAAGTAAAATCTAGCGTATCATTGATTCTCATGTCCAAGGTGCTTAGCGGCTCAAAGTTGCAACTAGTTTTGTAAGGTAGCCCGAGTCAGAGCAATGGCTCGACGATCCAACATCCTTGCGGGTGCCGTACTGCTGGCTGGCCTGGCAGCATTGAACTCTGTGTCCTTCGTGAATCCTCAGCCAATTGAGCGAAGCAGCCGCATGGCCATGAAGGGCTCTGCTGTGGAATGGGTACCAAAGCTTTCAAGGGATGTGGTGGAGGTGATGTTCACTGCTCCGGCGCAGGGTGCACGCTCCCGAATGCTCATCCGGGCTGATGCTGATGTGTCAGAGGTGATCAAGCAGGGCAGGAAGAAGCTGGGATTCGACCAGGACTGGATGCCCGACTCCGACTTCAAGCTCTACAATGCTGAAGATGAAGATGCTGGACCCTTGAAGGGCAAGATGAGTGAGAATGGCCTCATCGACTTCTCCTACGAGATCCACCTGTACTACGAGCCTCAGTGAATCTATGCGCGTGGATGTGGAAGTCAAAGTTTTCCCACGAAGAAAATGACAAGTTTGCACTCCGGAGAAAGGGAGCCTGCCTCGCTTTGTGTATCAATTGGTGGGGTTTTGTCCTAGTCACTAGATGTCACTAGCCGGTTTGCGATGGCCATGTTGCTGCATGGCTTGGCTTTGGTTTTGTCGGGGCAAAGTGAACTTGGCCAATGAGGACACATAGTGTTGCACTGGTGCAAACCATTATCGTTTTGTCACCTATGAATCTATGTTGTAATTAGCTGCCAGGTAGACATTGCATTAAGAAACATAAATGACCGAATGCTTGTGGTTTAAAACATCATTACATTAGCAAAATTGCTTTGCCTCTAGATGGTCTCTGCTGCTCAGTCTGTTTGGCGTCCAATGACATCAAAATTGAACGGACAAAGAAAGGACGACACAAAGCTGGTGGAGGCTCAAACTTGCAACTAGTTTTGTGAGGCAGGTCCGGTCAGAGCGATGGCTCGACGATCCAACATCCTTGCGGGTGCCGTGCTGCTGGCTGGCCTGGCAGCATTGAACTCTGTGTCCTTCGTGAATCCTCAGCCAGTTGAGCGAAGCAGCCGCATGGCCATGAAGGGCTCTGCTGTGGAATGGGTACCAAAGCTTTCAAGGGATGTGGTGGAGGTGATGTTCACTGCTCCGGCGCAGGGTGCACGCTCCCGAATGCTCATCCGGGCTGATGCTGATGTGTCAGAGGTGATCAAGCAGGGCAGGAAGAAGCTGGGATTCGACCAGGACTGGATGCCCGACTCCGACTTCAAGCTCTACAATGCTGAAGATGAAGATGCTGGACCCTTGAAGGGCAAGATGAGTGAGAATGGCCTCATTGACTTCTCCTACGAGATCCACCTGTACTACGAGCCTCAGTAATTTTTGTCTATTTTTCAAAAAGCGAGATAGAGTGGAGTGAAAAAGTATGTCTGTGGAGGCTCTTTGCAGTGGGCTGCTTTGAATCCTGTTTCATTTCTTCTTCTAGTGTTGTTTTTGCATGTTTGGTTTTGCCAAATTTATGTTGTTTCTTTCAGGGAGTTTCTTGCTTGCAGAAGCTCAGTTGAACTCGGCACCGTACAAGTCAAGAATAAGATCCCTGGCCTTTGGCCCAAAAGTCATTTTTTGAGGCCACATACAAGCTTACAATCCGCGATAGTAGCAGCCATGGCTCGACGATCCAACATCCTTGCGGGTGCCGTGCTGCTGGCTGGCCTGGCAGCATTGAACTCTGTGTCCTTCGTGAATCCTCAGCCAGTTGAGCGAAGCAGCCGCATGGCCATGAAGGGCTCTGCTGTGGAATGGGTACCAAAGCTTTCAAGGGATGTGGTGGAGGTGATGTTCACTGCTCCGGCGCAGGGTGCACGCTCCCGAATGCTCATCCGGGCTGATGCTGATGTGTCAGAGGTGATCAAGCAGGGCAGGAAGAAGCTGGGATTCGACCAGGACTGGATGCCCGACTCCGACTTCAAGCTCTACAATGCTGAAGATGAAGATGCTGGACCCTTGAAGGGCAAGATGAGTGAGAATGGCCTCATCGACTTCTCCTACGAAATCCACCTGTACTACGAGCCTCAATAGCTCGATGTGCGTGGACTTGAAGTCGCATTTTTCCCGCACAATCAACGGCGAGTTCGCACTCCCAAAGAAAAAGTGCTGGGGTCCTTGGTGATGCTGAGAAACTTGCAGCAAGGGCCTATTCTGCCTAATTTAATTGTATTGTATTTCATATGCAATGCTCAGTCCATGTTTCTGTCTGAGAGTCCTTCCTGTCTTTCTTGCGGGCTGTTGCGAATAAAGATTAGACTGCAAAGTGATACTTTGCTGCCTGTCCTGATCGGTACCCGGTATGGCTTGCAAAACAAATAATCCTGAAACTAGATTGACGAACATCCCAACATCGATTTTTCGGAATGTTCACCGCCCACTCCCCGCGTGAAAGTTGTTTCATTTGCATCCCTTCGCACAAAGAGGCTCAAACTTGCAACTAGTTTTGTGAGGCAGGTCCGGTCAGAGCGATGGCTCGACGATCCAACATCCTTGCGGGTGCCGTGCTGCTGGCTGGCCTGGCAGCATTGAACTCTGTGTCCTTCGTGAATCCTCAGCCAGTTGAGCGAAGCAGCCGCATGGCCATGAAGGGCTCTGCTGTGGAATGGGTACCAAAGCTTTCAAGGGATGTGGTGGAGGTGATGTTCACTGCTCCGGCGCAGGGTGCACGCTCCCGAATGCTCATCCGGGCTGATGCTGATGTGTCAGAGGTGATCAAGCAGGGCAGGAAGAAGCTGGGATTCGACCAGGACTGGATGCCCGACTCCGACTTCAAGCTCTACAATGCTGAAGATGAAGATGCTGGACCCTTGAAGGGCAAGATGAGTGAGAATGGCCTCATCGACTTCTCCTACGAGATCCACCTGTACTATGAGCCTCAGTAGAGCCTTTTTTTATTTGCTGCTTGCGTTTCTCCACTTCACGGATCAGGGAGGATGGGAAGAGAAAGAGGCCATCCATTTGACTCTTGCTGTGTTGGGCTGTTTGCGCCTTTTGCTGACGGAGTTCAGGAGAATGTTCTTGTCAATGCATTTCAAGATGGAACTATTGTATGGCTGAACATATCTGTCCTGCTGCCAGTAGCTCAATAAAATCAATGGCTGAATGAAAGCCCTGGGCAGAGCCCACCAGCAACGATGCCTCTTGAAATTCGAGGTTGGCATCATCAAACTCATGCGCATGCAAAACGCACTCGTTAGCCCACAAAGCATTCTACTGCATTCAGACGGCCAAACAACCATGCGTTCATGTACCTTACAACAAATCCTGAAACAGCAGCACTGCACCAAGAGCATGATTTTTCTGATATTAATAGGTAGCTAGAAGGCTCATGCTTCAGTCACCAATGATTGCTCCGTGCTGTGAAGGCGTGGAGAGAGTGACAGGCTTCCAACAGTTTTGCGCTTGACGTGCCAGTCTTTGGCTGAGCCCTGTGAATGCTTCGTGACCTCACCAGCTTTTGTCAGGCTTGGGGAATGAAATCGTGGCCCCAGCAGCTGCCAGGATTTGCCCACATGTCAGACAGAACTACAACATTTATCAACATTTCAGAATATTTAAGACATTGGGACTTCAGAAGTGCGAGCTTCATACACTGCACAGCACCGTACAGCAACAAGGTCTGGAGAGTTGAGCTGTTGGGAATCCCTGCTGTGGGCTCCATTTGTCGACATGGACTCTGTAACCGTACCCCTGGCAGGATAGAACTCCATCCAACGGTGAATCGAAAGGCTCGGCCCCACGGCATGTCTTTAGTTTGCATTCTTTTATCACCAGGGCTGATTCTGCCTGAAGTTTCGGATGTTAATCAGAGATTCAGTGTGCTGGTGGTTGATTGGATCTCAGCAGTGACCTTGTCACTGATGTCACATGGTGTCACATGATGTCACATGATGTCACGTTTTGTTTGCGGTTAAGGATGTTTATATAGTTTTATATAGTTATCTGTTCATCAACATACAATGCTGCAGAATTACAGCAAAGTCAAAACAAGGTCACAGAAAAGTCTGGCCACCTCAATAGGGATTCACAATGCTTTGAATGGAACACCTGGTTTCAAAGCGGCTGGGAGTGATTGTCGAAGCTACCAGCAGAGCCAGTTGCGCCATGATTCGCTCTCCTGTGAGTCTTGAGACTGCTGCTCTTACTGGTGGGGTTTGCGTGGCCGTGCTTGTGTGGCTTCGGCAAAGGCCCTCATCTTACCCTGGAGATGCCATCCCTAAATCCAAACGGCTGAAAAGAGAGCCGAAGTTCAAGGAGAAATCACAGAGAGTGGAGAAAGGCTGGCAGCCATGCACCGAAGGTCAATCTGAAGTTTTGCCTCACCCAGTTTCTGGCCAACAAATCTGGGTATACACCTCTGGCAAGGCTTGTCCGGACGTGCCGGAGTTTCATCCAGCTGAGAACCCAAACAGTGCCGATATCATCTTCAGAAATGCCAAGTTGCAAGCATGGAAGGGTTCTACGCCAAAGGATCATGCTCCAGGTGATTGTTTGTCTGCAGTCCGGAAGGGCTTCAGCTTCTATCAAATGCTTCAATGCGATGATGGTCAATGGGCTGGCGATTATGGAGGTCCCCATTTTCTGCTACCTGGCTTTGTGATTTCCGCCTACATCACAGGCAACATGGACAAGATCTTCCCAGAGTCACATCGTAAGGCAATTCAGGCCTACCTGTTGAATCATCAGCAAGTGGATGGTGGCTGGGGAACTCACATTGAGTCTCCAAGTACTATGTTCGGGACGGTGCTCAACTACGTGGCTTTGAGACTGGTAGGAGTGGACGCCAAGACTTTGGAATGTGAGAAGGGACGGGAGTTCATGCGTCAGCATGGGGGAGCTCTGTATGCTCCGTCATGGGCCAAATTCTGGTTGGCCGTGCTGGGGGTCTATGAATGGAAAGGTATAGCACCAGTGCCCCCAGAGATGTGGCTTCTGCCCAGTTGGTTCCCATTGCACCCTGGAAGGTTTTGGTGCCACTGCCGCATGGTGTACCTGCCGATGTGCTGGTTGTATGCACGCAGATTCACCTACAAAGCTGCAGACGACCCAGTGACTTCAGCACTCCGATGCGAGCTGTTCCCAGATCAGACATATGCCCAAATTGATTGGAGGCCTGGTACACTTTCTTCAAACATGCTCAAAACTATCAGTAGCAATCCAAATAAATCCAAGCAGCAGCTGGTGGCCAGCTTTCTTCAGGCGACATGTCCACAGCGTGGCCGTCATTGACAACTACAGTCCCATCCATCCATTTATGCGCTGGCTCCAGGACCAAAACTTGGAGAAAGCTGAAAGGTTGAGTTTTCACATTTGTTGCTTTCCGTTTGTTTTCTTTGACTTGTGTTTGTGAATCAACCTCCGTTTGCGACTAGGAGGCTCTTCTGGTCTATGAGCGTTTTGGCCCTTGGAAATGGTTGAGAAAGATCAGTAGTGACTTTGCCCTCGAATACATCAACTCTGAGGACAGAGATGTGAGATGTGTGCGGGGGCTTTTGCACCGATTGGATTTGTGGTGTGACTTGTAACTTGATAATTTCATACATTGTTTCGTCCTAGTGCCTCTAAAACTAGAGAAACCTGGAGCGCACCAATCCCGAGACAAGCTAGGGAAGACAAAATGGAGAAGTCATTTTGACAGAATTTCACAGAAACCCTATGTTGACAATATGTTTGGAAGGATTTGGAGACCAACTTCTTGACGATCGGCCCGGTCAGTAAGGTTGTGGACAATATTGCAGCATGTAGCTGTTAAGATTTCAAGAGTGGAACGCACATTGATTGATTTGCGCCTCGCAGTGTCGGCATGACTTTCACTTGTTCATTTGTCGCAAGGCCCTTCACTTGCTGGTGAGCTGGGTCGAAGCTGGTGGTGATGCGAATGCTTCTGAGAGCCGCTCCTTCAAGGCGCATGTGCAACGAGTTCCAGCATACCTTTGGGTAGCTGAGGAGCCTTCAGCGCCTGCGGCCTCACTTCCCAGAGCAATTCCAGAGTTTTTTTGACACTCCAAAAACTTTGTATATAAGTTCCAGTCACTGAAGAAGTAAAATCAAGGTAGACACAGTAGACATAGTAGACATAGTAGACATCCTGTGTGTAAAATCCGCGCAGGACGGAATGAAGGTTCAGGGTTACAATGGCTCTATGGCATGGGACACATCCTTTGCCATGCAAGCAGCTGTGGACTCTGATTTGGTGTCGGAGTTCAAGGACTGCTGATTCTTTCAGATATTAAGTGAAGATAGGTGAAGGATCCCCCTAGCATAGATTCAATGACTAGATTGATTGGATAGCTTGAGCTCTGGCTGTTTGTCGAAACCTTTAGTGGCCCAGCTTGTTGGTGTGCAAAGTCTGCCTACGATGCCAATCACCGGTGCCTTGACTCGACATCTTTACATCTCCACAGTCCTGGGTCGGGCTCGTAGATGATAGTGATCACTCCTGTCCAACAAAACTCTCATCTTCCAGTGATCTGTGCAGGACATGTCAAAGAAGGTTCCGTCCTGAATTTTGTTGCACAGTCGCAGTGCAATTTCTATGATTTTCTTCGCTGTAGCAATTGCTGAGACTGGGTGGGTCACCAGGTGACTGGGTGGGTCACCAGGTGACCGGGTGACCGGGTGACTGAGGCCTGGAGTTGGCTCGTGAAGGAACAGGTCCGCAGTTTGCCGTATGGCGATTGGAAGCACTGGCGGCAACCCATTCAAGGTGGCTGGGGCTTCAGTCAGTGCCTCAGGGATGGAGTCAAATGGAGTCAAATGGAGTCAAGGTACCTGATCGAATCCTGATGGATCCTGATGGTGTCACAGCTTATGCCACTGTGAGGTACAGCAGAGCAGGCATGGCCTGTATCCGAGACTCGACAATGCAATTTCATTGACATTCATTGACCATGCTTTTGAAAGAAGTCAGGATTGGAACCACACAGAAGTCTTGGGAGGAACACCCAATAACACCCATCTTCCATTTGGACCCCTGTTTCCGGGTCCAGGAGGGAGCAACATGGCTTTTGTAAAGCGGATGAATGAAACAAAATCCAGGCCATTCTCACTATATATACCGTACATTACCGTACCACATTTTCAATCGGATAACTCCGAACAAACCTTAAACCAAACCTGAATAAACCTTAAAGCAACCTAAGCAACCCCTCAACAAACCCTAAACAAACCCTATCCCAACCGTAAATGCACTTTAAACCAGCCTCCAACAAACCCTAAACCAACCCTAAATAAACCCTAAACCAATCTTACCCTAAAGAAACCTTAAGCCAGCCTTCCACCCAAACTAACCTTTAAACCAACTGTAAATCAACATGAGGCAAATACCATGAGAGATCCAAGCTCCAAAATGTTAAAAATGCCAGTTGAGTGAGAGATCCAAGCTTCAAAATGCTGCAGACACCATGATACTGCTAATGAGAGATCCAAACTCCAAAGTGCTGCAAGTACCACGCAAATGGAGATCTAAGCTCCAAAACGGTGCGGTGCAAATGCCAGGTAAAACCACCTCAACCAGAAAACGGGAAAAAAACCCAAAAAGAAACGGGAAAAAAAAAAACAAAAAATGCAGCCCTTTTCAATCTCTATGTCAAGATATTGCGATTACAAAAATACTTCCCATAAAAAACATCCCATTCAACTGAACTTTCAAAACATACACAACCATTGCTCACAAGAATGTTCGTGGGTGCTATGTAGAGCGGGTGATCATAGGAAAATCATGAAAACTAGCAGCAAGATGCAGCATTGTTTGAACTGTCAAGTGCGGAAAGGTTGGGGTTAGGGTCCACATTCCAGACCTTTTCAAAGTCTTGTAGCTGCAAGTTTCGAGGACACCACAGCTGAAGCCTTCAAGGCTGTGCTATTGCTTCGCAAGCAGTCATGCATGAAGGGAGAGAGCGCCTTAGTTCCAATGAAGCAGTAGGCCGTAGTCACGAGAGTTCGTCATGGCAATTTGAGCTGATTTAACTGTGAATGACTTTGCCTAGACTTCTTTCTGCAGTTGCATCCTCAAACGTCTCTCGGAAGGTGATGTTGCATGCTGTTCAGTTCATTATCCGAGGTGGGCAAATGCCAGATCAGCACCTGTTCGACACGGTTCGGTTCTTGCTGTCCTATCAAAACGGTGATGGTGGCTGGGCAACCTACGAGAACAATCGTGGATGGAGTTGGTACGAACTCATGAATCCTTCCGAGGCAAGTGTGGGTTGCTCCTGGAGTGATCCTGAGTTCGCCTAAGACTCTTCGCATCGTGTAGCATTTTGCTGATTGAAACCCCTGAGGTTTGCATTTTCTTTCAATACTTGGACCGGCAAAAATGACGGTTTCGCTGAATTTCACGATTTGACGTACCGAATCGTATGGAAAGACTTGCAAAAAATGGGCATCACTGACATCACTGACATCCTGGGCAGGTCTTTGGAGCCATCATGATCGACTATTCCTATGTGGAATGCTCTTCCTCTGCCATGCAGGCTCTGAAACGCACCAGTGATGCCAAGTGACGCTGGGAAAACAACATGAAAGATGAAAATCGTGTGACCTTTGGATTGTTGGATGCGATTCTGAAGCTGACATGACCCTGGCTGAAGATTTCTGGGCCCACATCTACCAAACTGTTTATCCCTGCAATCCATGCAGGTAGCCAGGTCAATGCACCGAATGCATCCTGAATTCAAGTAGACAAGAAATTTAGCGACATTTACAGTGACATTTGGGAACATTGTTACAACATTATAGTAAATGCTACCATTTTCCTAATATTTTCAATATTTTCCTAATATTTGTTATTTATTATAGCAACATTATTAAGACGCTGGGAACATTGATGCTGTCAGGCCTTGATGCTGTTCACCGAGCAGTTCCCACAGCACCGAGCTGGCGAGATTGCGCGAGCGGTTCAACGTGGCGCACGCTTCATTGAAGCCATGACACTTGGATCAATTGGATCTTTAAAACTCCAAAATAAAGATGAGTATGATTGAACATGCTGACATCTAGATATATCTATAATGTAAATCTCTAGACCTTACAATAATAATACCAATAAACACATTATATATAATTATATATATATGTAAACATATACATGAAATTGGTGGTTCTATATACGAGAAGGTTGTACGTGATAAAAAATGTGATAATATAATATATATATAGATATTTATTTATGTAGATGTATATGCCACATCCAGCATGAGAAACGGATGCGCCGATGGGTTTGCCAGTGCTTCTCCAGAGGCAGCGAAACGATGGCAGCTGGTATGGATGCTGGGGCAACTGTTTTACCTATGGCTGTTGGTTTGGCATCGAAGGCCTTCAGATGGGAGTTGCCCGTGCCTGCTGTGTCTTCTATGCCTTCTATGATTGTTAGCGTTCAGCTTTTTGACAGGTCCAGGATCTCGTTTTTGAAAACGTTGCCAGCTGTTTTCAGCCCTGATAGGCCTACTGTGTGCCGGGCGGCCAAGATCATGTGCGGCCATCCAGAAGTGCGTCAAGTTCTTGCTTGGAGCCTCTTCCGCAATGCTTTGATTGTTGCATGCTGACTCACTAGAATGCTTGGGAGGATTGACCAAAATTCATTGCAAGGGATAGATCTCAGAGAATGATAATTCCAATAATTCCATATTTTGCGTGCTGCGTGCAGACTCAATGCACACTTGCATGATTTCGTGCGGACAATGGCTGTGATTTGGGCTCCTTCAGGAAAGCAAAACGCCGATGGTGGTTGGGGTGAAGATTTCTCCAGCTGCTTTGACAGGGAGTACGCAGCCAGGGATAAGCTCTACGGAAGCTCAGCTTTTGACTAATACACAGTGAACTTCCCAAACATTTGGTAAAGAGTTCACTATGCGCGGATGCAAGGATGCGATTCGGGAAGCACCGTTGTGCAAACTTCTTGGGCTTTGTTGGCGCTCATGGCAGCCAAGTGTGAGGAGACTTGTTTTTGCTTGGATTTGGCTGGCTGGAAACTCACCCTTGTGGTGCAGAAAGCATTGTGTCAGCAAATGTCAGCAAGCTGTGCGATGCTGTGTACTGTTTCCAGCACCGCACTTTGCCTCACTTGTGCAGCATGGCGACTGCTTTTTGATGCTTTGGAAGCATGTGCACTCCAGTCTGTTTGAAATGGAGTCCCCGAGTTCAAACGAGGATTCAGACGCGATTCAGCGCGGCATTGGTCTGCTTTGGCGACGCCAGCTACCAACAGGGGACTGGCCTCAGGAGAACATCGCCGGGGTGTCCGGGAGCCAAGTGGCCTTGTTGAGCGACAGAGTTAGCGCTCCGTGATTTGAGACCAAAATCAATGTTCTTTGATACACAAAAAGTGGATGGCAGCAATTAGTGTTCTTTGCTTCTGACCTTTGAAACCACTCGAATGGCAAAAAGGAACGCAAACAAGAAGTTCAGAGAGGGAGAGAGAGCATAGAGAGCCTGAACACGCCTTTTAGTGATTGTGAAAGGTTCAATCGATCAGTTGGAATCACGCTCCTCGGCTCAGTGTTTTGCCCCGCTTGGAGAAGTGGGAGTCAGATGTGAGTTTTGAGAGCTCAATTGTCCATGTACATCATGTACTATGCAATCCTGAGGTACACCTCCTTCCGAAATGTGTTTCCACTTTGGGCCCTTGGACACTTTGCGAAAGAATATGGACCTCGCCATGGATGCAAGTTGGTCTTCTGATGTCAAGCTCGCACCACATTTGAAATAGCAAACCTTGAGCAGCACATTCTCAAGTGCTGGATATTCCTTATCAATTGGCCGGATCGGCTTGAAAAGGAATGGCATGCACATCCAATCTTTGAAATCAAAGAACATTCTCAAGTGCTGGATATTCCTTATCAATTGGCCGGATCGGCTTGAAAAGGAATGCCACGCACATCCAATCTTTGAAATCAAGGAAAGGATTGGATCAAAACTCTTTTCCACACTTGCAAAGTCAAGGTGCCTGAACCTTTTAAAACCAGGCAGGCAAAACCATGTTTTTCATGTCTGCAAAGTGAGTTGGTGTTGGATTATGTCCAGGAAATCCAAAGGTGCAGCTTCTGGGGTGACATCTAGAAATGCTTTTGTGCAGTATTTCTTGCTGTTCCCTGTGAGGCAGATTTCGGGATTCCGAACTCCCGAAAACTGCCAGCGCCTGAATGAAATCACAGATGCATGGACCCATGGCTTTTGCGACATTGGCTAGTAGAAGGTTTCGAACGATGTGCATCCTGTTTGCGTTGGCATGTGTATGCACGTGTGAACTAGGTCAAATTTGTAGATTCGCAGCCATTGGTTTAAATCTAGCTTTTCAGACTCCATTGGTCCATCCAATCTTGTGAGAAACAAGCAATACTTGGAGCTCTTGACTGCCACGGATGGTGTTCTGAGTTGCCCAGGCTGGCCGGAAGCATCGCTGCTTGGGTTTGCAGGCCGGGGGGATACAGGTTCACGGTTGGTTTTTGCCTGGGCCTATCCGACCTATCCGATGCCAAATCCAAATTTGTTGGTGCTCAGATGTGAAACCTACAGGAGCGCAGAAGTTGCTGCACCAGTTAGACAGGGAAGTTGCTTTTGGAGTAGCTTCAATTCTTCGTTCCTGAGCCGATCTCACCTGCTACTTTTGGGTTGTTGGACAGGTATCACCAGCGGGTCTCAAGACATGCGAAGTGTTGGGGCCTGATTGTCCTGCTTCGACAGCCTTGATTTGTGCTTTGATGGCTGCTATGTTGTTCCAACTGATTCTTGCTGCAGCACAAAGCTGTCGCAGGTTTTTTTTGGTGACCCTGAGAGTAAGGTTCGATTGCATTGTTTGCAGTAAAGACTGCTACAATGGCACCGCCGGTTACATTGTCGGCAACTCAGCCACTTCTACACACTTCTGTTGCCAACTGTGATGGTTCATCGAGACATCATTTAGAGCGCGTGTGTGAGGTCAACCACAACCCTCAAGCTATTGGCAGCTGAAGAGTTGCAAAAGTTAAAGCTAGAGATGCAGGTGGCTGATGACTGGAGGTTGCTGGGGTTGTGGCGACCTCCTTGGTGCAAAAACAACCCAGCATGGCACAGCATGGATCTTTGTCAGGCCACACCTTTGAGTTGGGCAACAGGGAATGATTGCCTTGCTTGGAACTGAGGACAATGCAGCAGTTGATCTCACTTGGGAAGAAATGGATGAACAGAGCCGCTGACCTACTGAGGCTCAAGTGCAGCGCCATTTGCAGACCCTCCTATGGATTGCCCAGACCTATCGTCAAATCCAAAAGCAGTTTCCTTCCAACCTGGACGAGGCTGGAGTGTTGAGAGCGTTGAAAGATTCAATGTCAGCTGACTATATTTTTTGCATCTTGCTCTCGGTGTATCATTGACGTCATGGTGTTAGGTGGATGCCGAAAAGATCCGCAACGTCTTGAACTGGCTTGTAAACCAATGCAAGGCTTGAGCCGACAAGCCGCGAACGGACTCCAACCGCAATGGCAAAGGCCACACGCATCCACTGTGTTGCCATCTGCCATCCTAAGATCTACTCCGAAGGTGTCCATCCAAGAGGCCAGAGTCGCACTTGGAAGGACTTGACGGGAGCTATGCACGGCTCAGAAACGCTTTCATTCACTGGCTTGCCTATGCTTGTCTTTTTAAGCTTTTAAGCTTTTGAGACCTTTTAAATCCTTTTAAGCTTTCCAGGACAGCAGAAGATTTCATTGCAACGCCGAAGTACTACTACTCGGAGCCCTGGCTGGCAATGAAAAGCTTTGCGCACCTTCGCTGGGGAGAATAAAGGGAGCTTCCACCAAGCTCCGACTAGACAGCAGTCCATGCAGTGAAGTGATGTGTTTTTAACCTCTTTCTATTTGGTTGCAATATTATTGGATGGCTTGACTAGTTGAGAAGTAAATCTTGCAAGGAGTTGCGATCGCGGCGGAAGTGCCTTCATCCTGCTCAAGATCAGGCTCGTTTGATACTTTTGGATATGCAGGCATGGCAAATCAAGAGTAGAAGGACGTGCTCATCCAAAGGAAGAAAAGAACAGTTGACATTGGTCCTGGATTTCTCACAGTGGTTTGCAATGAACTTTTCACGCCAGCCACAGCTAGGCTTTTGAGAAGGAAGAACTGCTTCGTTTTCTATGTACAGAGGTTTTGGCTTTCCTTCGTATGGAGGACTGGCTTCGGGGGTGTGTACTCCTTTGGCTTAGGGAATGTACTTGCACTTGTGATGTAAAGAGCATCTTACTGGTAACAGGTTCCGCAAAATTAACATCCAAAATCTTCAGCTGAGCAGCGTTTTTTTTTGACAGCACCATCAGCCGCATAGGCGATTGTCCAGTCAGCGGAGTCTCACGTGGCCTTGCGTAGGTACCTTCGCATAAACTACGTCGCGCATAGGCTACTGAACTGCGCAGTTTGCGTAGCCGCCGCGTAGGCGCTGCGTAGGCAATTTTAAGGATAATTCCTTTAAACTTTAAACCATAAAAACAACTCTGCACAGCTGGAACCCACTTGAGCATCACTTAGCCAAAAGTTGGTGTTCCCAAGGAGCGCTTGCACGTCCTTGCACAGACTGCTGGTCTGGGGCCAAGGGATTTGCATGGTCAGGGTTTCTCAGCTGCCACTGTAATAAGGTGATCCAGTGCCCGGATACTGGCAGAAATGTTGTGAGTGGGCGCACAAAAATGCAGCTGGCTGCTCAGATCTGCTCAGTGACGAAGCTATACATGTCTGAGTAGGGGAATTGTTGTGGATCTTTTTGCGTCTCAAGAATATGGGAACGTCAGGTGAACTGGTTGGTTTGGAGGTGTTGTGTGGTCGCGGTTGCAGGTGGAGTTGACATCTGCTTTGATCGGGGCATATGCGCTTCCACAGGCCTTGAGAGCAATGTTTCGCGTCAAAAACCAATATGACGTCCACATGGCAGAAGGCTTGCACATGTCTCAGGAAGGATTTTGCAGATTCCAGTGTTCAATGATGTTCAATGTTCAATGGATTCAGTCAAGCCCTGGAGCTGCGAACAGGTGACGGGTGAGTTGCAGGAGTGCTCCAAGGACGCAAGATTGTGTTCAAACTGCTAGTGTAGTCTTGAATGCAGCTGGGGTCGCGTATGCCATGATGCAAGAAGCAGGAAGAGACGCAAGTCTGGCATGATATGATTGATGGTCCTGTCCCAAAGAAGTTGATGTACAGATCCGGCCGTTCTGTATCCTGCTGCAATCGTAGGATTGTACTGAATGCATATGAATGATATTTTTGTTTTGACATTTTAAGCAGGGAAATTTTAGCTTTGCAATAGACAGCTGAAACAAAGGTTCCAAGGGCCGCGTGCGCTTTGGCTCCTCCAGTTCTGCCTCACGAACGGATCAAACTGAGGTGAAGGTAGGGCCTTTTTTTTTTTGTGACATGTATTCAGAGCTCCTGTACGGTGCTTCGTCTTGGGCATACAGACATACCAGGTTCCTGTAAGGCATATCTGAAATCAAAGAAGAACATAGAAGGACTACAGTTGCAATTGAACCAAGATCATGCCAGCAACCACGGAGGCGAGGGAAGAGAGGCATGATGGGTGCTGTAAGGCATGTGCGGCACCTTGGCCAAAAAACTACTGGGGTTCAGAACTGTGGCCGAGTGGTTGCCTTTTTTGATTCTTTTTTGCAGCTGGCCAGCTTGAGGCAAAGCCCGTGTTTGTGGTGTTCGGCTCCAAGCTACATCGCAAAACCTGCAATTTCAATGCTTCGCAAGAAATTAAAGCACATCTCTACCAGTGCAAGGTCAGACTGCACTGGTGAATCAGCTGAACGAACTGTTAGGAGCGCACTGGGGCAGTCTCTAGCTTACGCACATTGCTTTTGCTCCATCAGCCTTCATCACATTATTATTGATGGCCAGCGTAGATATTTTGCTGCGGCAGCTTAATTTTATCTCTCAGATGAGCAGTCCGGAAAGTGCAAGAAGATTATGCTCCCATTCGGTTTTTAAGTTTTCCATTTCCCAAGACCAAACGAGATCTTCTCAGTTGCTAGACTTTAGCCACTAGACTGAGGTTTGGTCACTGCTTTGAGAGAAGCTGCCGGGTGCTCGGAGAGGTCTTGTGACATTGCCTGGCTGTTCAACTTCAGCGAATGTGTTTGACACATGCCACACGTTGTCCTACCATTCAAAGGTCAAGCAGATCTTACCACTTTTCGCTTCGCAACGTCGAGCATGATGGAGGTAGCCGAAGCTAGCTATGTGACTGCGAAAATTTATCAACCAGATCCACTCAGCGCCCAACATACTTTCAGCATGAGCTCAGCAGTGGGCCAGTGTGCGTGACATTTGATCAGTAGTTCGCAAGGACATCGCGCGACAAGCACGTGAGCGGAATGCTTTTGTGGTCTACACGCTAGCCACCACCTTGGCATCCTGATCGATCGAGCCCGCCTTGTGATCCTTGTGCACTCTGATGCCTTGACTCTGCTTGAGCTGAGATGAGCTGAGGTAGACCCCGTGGCCAATTCCTTACTAGCAAAGTATTGCGAGGAGCCTGCGTCTTAGTCACGAAATGTTGCCAAGCGACCAGTTGTTTCAAGTTTTTGCGGGGTTGGGAATTTGTATGGATCCAAAATGTAGCTGCTAGAATGCTGCTAGAGCAAAGCAACATGGGACCTCTATGAACATGGAAGAAGCAGATGAAGCCTCGCCAGATTCTAGCTAGACGTATCAATGTGGCCTCTTCTTTCAGGCTGGAAGTTGAAAGCCATGACCTATGGAGCCCTTTATTGGAGAAGATGGAAGGTGAGGAGATTCAGTTCGGAATCACCTGAGTGGGTTGAATCTGCGATCTCGAGCTTCTAGGAAACAGCACTGAACACCATATACCTTTTGTTAGCCAGATGGTTACTTTCCTTGTTTTGTGTCTTTGTACTTCTCTGGAAAGCAACATACTCATTCCTGATGTTCAAAGGGGAAACGGATAGCATTATATTATATGTACAGTAATCTCTAATCATATATAATATGAAATGTGATGTTAATATAATGTCATGAAATATGATATTTTGTGATAAAATACCATATACACTATATATATACATTATATTATATACATATATAATATATGATATATGATATATAATATATGATACATGATATGTAATAATATATAATATATAATATAATATATAATATATAATATAACACATATAATATATAATACATAATATATAATATGACATATAACATATAACATACATATTATATAACATATAATATATAAATATAATATGTAATACATACTATATGATATATAATACATAATATATAAGGCATTGTATATATATATAACCTAATATGCAACATAATATGTAATACAATCTAATATTATATACTAAAGTATAATACATATAATATGATATATCATTTAATATACTATAGTATGATCTAATTTGATATAAAATAATGTAATTTAATATATTGTAATATTACATTATGTTATATTATAACATGATATAATATCATATAATATATTGTAATACAATGTAATATAATGTAATAGAATGTAATAGAATGTAATATAATGTAATATAATGTAATAGAATGTAATATAATGTAATATAATGTAATATAATGTAATATATATATATAATATCATATCATATAATACCAGTAGTACCGCACAAGGCGGTGGCGGAAGTTTCAAAAATAGGAAACCTATAGGAGAGGTTGGTTGTTGTGAATCAGGGATGGCAGAGCGAAGCCACTGATGGATCGAAAGGTGATTGAGGTCTCCTCTCTTTCTCTCTCTTTCTCTGACTATCTACCTACCTACCTACCTATCTATCTATCTATCCATCTATCTATCTATCTATCTACCTATCTATCTATTTATCTCTCGATCTATCTCTCTCTCTCTCTCTCTCTCTCTCTCTCTCTCTTCCTTCCATCTAATTACCTATCTATCTATCTATCTGTCTGTCTGTCTGTCTGTCTATCTATATATCTCTCTCTCTCTCTCTCTTTCATCTGTCTATCTGTCTAGCTGTCTACCTGTCTACCTGTCTATCTATCTATCTATCTATCTGTCTATCTGTCTATCTGTCTATCTGTCTATCTGTCTATCTGTCTATCTGTCTATCTGTCTATCTGTCTACCTGTCTACCTGTCTACCTGTCTATCTGTTGTGCAGTGTCATTCAGTGTCATGTAGTGTAGTGTAATGTAGTGTAGTGTAGTGGAGTGTAGTGGAATGTAGTGTAGTGTAATGTAGTGTAGTGTAGTGTAATTTAGTGTAGTGGAGTGTAGTTGTGTAGTTGTAGTTGTAGTTGTAGTGTAGTGGAGTATAGTGTAGTGCAATGTAGTGAAGTATAGTGGAAGGTTGTGTAGTGTAGTGTAATGTAGTGTAGTGGAGTGTAGTGTAGTGTAATGTAGTGTAGTGTAGTGTAGTGTAATTTAGTGTAGTGGAGTGTAGTTGTGTAGTTGTAGCGTTAGTGTAGTGGAGTGTAGTGTAGTGTAATGTGATGTAGTGAAGTGTAGTGGAAGGTAGTGTAGTGTAGTGTAATGTAGTGTAGTGGGGTGTAGTGTAGTGTAATGTAGTGTAGTGTAGTGCAATTTAGTGTAGTGTAGTGTAGTGTAATTTAGTTTAGTGGAGTGTAGTGGAGTGTAGTGGAGTGTAGTTGTGTAGTTGTGTAGTTGTAGTTGTAGTGTTGTGGAGTGTAGTGTAGTGTAGTGGAGTGTAGTGTAGTGTAGTTTAGTGAAGCGACATCTGAAGCTCCAAAAGTGGTCCGAACCCCTAGTGTTTTGTACATTTTGACTTCGAAATGTCCTTCGCGCCACAACGGCGTGCACTTTTTCGACATCTGAACCTCCAAAAGTGGTCCGAGCATTGTGTGTTTTGTACATTTTGACTTGGAAATGTGCTTCGCGCCACAACGGCGTGCACTTTTTCGACATCTCAACTGCCAAAAGTGGTCCGGACCTGGTGTGTTTTGTACATTTTGACTTGGAAATGTGCTTCGCGCCACAACGGCGTGCACTTTTTCTTTTTCGACATCGCAACTTCCAAAAGTGGTCTGAACCCCTGGTGTTTTGTACATTTTGACTTGGAAATGTGCTTCGCGCCACAACGGCGTGCACTTTTTCGACATCGCAACTTCCAAAAGTGGCCCGAACCCCTGGTGTTTTGTACATTTTGACTTCACTTTTTCGACATCTCATCTTCCAAAAGTGGTCCGAACCCCTGGTGTTTTGTACATTTTGACTTGGAAATGTGCTTCGCGCCACAACGGCGTGCAAATTTTCATCTCTCATCTGGCCAGCTGGCTCCGCACCCGCCGCTTTAGCAAGCCTACTTTTCGACCCTCCGGAGCCCCAAATCATTGGAAAAACACAGTGTTTCGCGACTTTCCTACCTTTTCGCACATCTGCATCTTCTTTCTTCTTACTCTTTCTCTTCTATTCTTCTTTCTTCTAATCTTTCTCTTCTCTCTGCCTCTTCCCTGCTCTGCTTTTCATCTGTCCATATTGTCGGAAGTTTGACTTCAAAACTTCCTTCGATAATATCATATCATATATTATAATATCATATCATATATTGTATTACATTATATTATATTATATGATATTATATGATATTATATGATATTATATGATATTATATGATATTATATGATATTATATCATATTATATATATATAGAGTTGTAGGGCTTCGCAAACCGGCGATGCCCCAAGGGTTGCTGTTGTTGTCCAGAATGTCGCCCGTTTGCTCTGTTGTTGTTGTTGTTGCTGTTGTTGTTAACTGTTACCCCTGCATTTTTTTTCTCACTTTCGTAGTGGCCAAAAATCGTCAAATAGGTGGTGCTTCGACGTGTTTTTTGAGACTCTCGGAGCAAAAGACACTGTAAATACCGATGTTTTTTGCGCCTCGGAAGCCCAAGACCAGTATTTACGATGTTTTTTTGTCTTTGGTAGCAAAAATCACGGTATTTACAGTATTTTTTGGCTAGCGCTTAGCAGTTTTCAGCATGTTGCAAGAAGTATTGTTTCCATGCCAAAGGCAAAAATACATTATAAATTACAGTCTTATGGGTCTTGGCACGCACAAAAAGTGACCAAAATGGACCTTCCAAACCCTACTTGGCAGGAAGTCCCATTTTTACCGATGTTGCGCGGACTTTTGCCCCCAAAAACGTAAAAACACCACCAGAGGGAAGGATTCAGGGGGAGGGTCGGCGGCAGAAGCCGCAACCGGGTCTGCAATGCTGCAGCGACTTGCTGCGTTCCAAGAACAAGTTTTTAGGAAGGTTCCGAACAATAGGCTGCCAGTTGCCAGCAAAATTCCCAAGAACAGGATCCCAGGCAAGGTCTCAAAGCAATGTTCCTAAGCAATCTTTCAAGCACAGTTTCGCAAGCAAGGTTTTGAATATATAATAAGTTAACAGGCAAGGTTGTCAAGCAAGGTTCCCAGGCAAGGTTGCAAGAAAGGTTCAAAGAACAGGTTTCCAAGAACAGGTTGCTCAATAACAACTTCCCAAGCAAAAATTCGAACAACACCTGCAAGCAAGGTTGCAAGGAAGAACAGAATCCCAAGCAAGGTTCCGAAGGACAGGTTCCTTAACAAGGGTCCCAAGCAAGGTTGCGAAAAACAGGTCCCCCAAGCAAGGTTCCCAAGCAAGTTCTGCAGGAACAGGCTTCCAAGAACAGGTTCGCAAGGTTCCCAAAGAACAGGTTCCCAAGCAAGGATCTGACGAACAAGTGTCAAGCAAGGTGCCAAGCAAGTTTTGCAGCAACAGGTTTCCAAGAACAGGTTTGCGAGCGCCGTTTCCAAGAACAGGTGCCCAGGCAAGGTTCCAAAAAATAGTGAACAGAATACTGCGAAATTTGAGTTTTTGTAGTAACGGTATGGAGAGATTGCAGAGCTAGTTTTGGTTAGAAAAAATAATATGGCGCCGGCAGATGGCTAAAACAGTGTGGCCGGAAAGAAAGCAGGAGGGAGGAGACGAGAAGATAACTCACAAGAATATATGATGATGAATGATGAGTGATGAACGGTGAATATGATGACAAAGATGAAGATGATGACGATGATGATGATGATGATGATTATGATGATGATGACGATGATGGACAGTCAGAATCACAAGAGATTTGGAAGATATTGTTTTTACACAGAAAATTTTACACAGAGAAGTTTTTACGCAGAGAAGCTCTTACCCAGAGAAGCCTTTACGCGGACCAGCTTTTACACACAGAAACGTTTTCACAGAGCAGCGTCTAAGCAGAGCAGCTTTTACACAAAGTTTTTACACAGAGAGCAGAGAGGCCTTTACACAGAGCAACTTTTACACACAGAAGCTTTTGCACACAGGCGCCTTTGCACAAAGAAGCTCTTACGCACAGACACTTTTACACATAGACGCCTTTACACACAGAAGCTTTTTTACACACAGAGGTTTATAAAGAGAAGCATTTACACACAGAAGCCTTTGCACTGAAGCTTTTACAGAGAGAAGCTTTTACGCACAGAAGGTTTTACACGCAGACGCCTTTACACAGAAACTTGTACACGCGGAGGCTGTCACACACACACACAGACATTTTTGCACAGAGAAGCCTTTACGCGCACACACACACACGCTTTTATACAGAGAAAGCTTTCCACAGAGCAGTTGCACGCTTCAAAATCGCGATTTTTTATAAGTGTCTGACGTTCGGCCATCATTTCGTGTGAAAGGTTTGCGCCTGAAGCTAAACAAATGTAATTTTACCGCAGTTTTTGCTGTTTGACTTTCATTTCGCGTGAACAAGTTGTATCTGAATTAACTTGGACTTTCAAAATCACAGTTTTATACCATTTTGACATTCGGCCCTCATTTCATGCGAAAGGGCGGTGCCAGGCCCCCCTCCAAAGATTTGGGCGTCCGACACGCACGATTTCCGCAGACGGTTGCTCGGGGGCGAAGAAAATTCGCATTTCACCATATGTTAGTGCATCCGACACGCACGATCTCCGCGGAGGGCCACCCAAGGACAAACAAAATTCAGATTCGCCACACGTTTGGGCGTCCGCCACGCACGATCCCTAAGCCACCGCCCGGCTGCCCCTGCCGCCACAAGAAAGAAATAGAAGAACTTGAGAAGTGGGAGTTTTGTAGGAGTTCAGATACATGACCTTGTAGGAAAACAGTGCAGAGGGATGAGGTTACTAACGGGGAGTGTATTTGAACATAAGCAGCGGGGAATACATCAAGAGAAATCAACACGTATGCTTCGAAAGTTACTCTGTCCGATGACGCTTGTCTAATGCAGCACTTTGATTGAAGGGATTGATCGCTGAGACGGGTTGATCTTGGCTCACGGGTCTTGATCTTCTTATCTTTGAGCTGGTGGTGCGCAAGTTGTGATCGATGAAGATTTTTATGGCTTCATATGATTATGTCGAAGATAGTTGATAAGCACGAACGATTTACAGACAAGGCCAATCGATGGGTATGGTTTCATTGAACTAAGCCGTTCTGCTTGTCACTTCTTTCAACGAAAGCATTCTTGGGATGGATTCTCGGTTTCATGTGTTTAGCCAGCGGCCTTCGTTCTTCGGTGAAAGCATGCTACTGTTTTCCATCATAGCTTTTTGCCCGTGGAGTTCTGACTGCAGTTTGCTCCCTTCGATCGCGTCAACCGCCCTTGCAATGAACCGTGCGCACCCGGATGCGCAATTAGACGAGTCGTGCATGGATGAAACGTGCCGTGGAAAACACACGTGGGCATTTGAGCTTGATGCGGTCTACAAGCGGGCACCTGGTGGAGGCATCCTGTACTGTAGCCAGTGCGGGTGTTTGAACGAGCTGATGCAAAGTCAAGTCCAAGGTGAGTGTGAGTACGGGGCTTCGTTCGAACATGAGGGTCGACTGCTTTGGAAATCGCGCTTGCCGAGATGGGGGCAATCCTTTGCAAGCATGACTCGGGGAATAATTCGTGCACAAACAAATGTACAGCAAATTCTCGGTGTCATGCATCAAGATGGACTGCCGAAGCGCGCGATTCGCACAGCGCGATGGTTGCTGCTTGTGTATCGTCATGAATCTGAGAAACGTTGTCGCACGCGGGCCGACCGCGTTTGGTGCGACAACTGGACGGCACACAAGCGCAATGTCTTTTTAAAAGAGTTCGGCGATTTTCTGCCGTTGCCGGTGCTCTTACTGGCTCGGCGCTTGAAGCCTGTTAAGCGTTGGCGCAGGTTCTGCATGGACAAGGATTATCAGCGAAGACCGAAGAAGTTGCTAAGGGCTTATCCTCGCGAATACCGAGGTAAGCTTAAGAGCACTGGTCGCTGATATTCGAAATCTCGATCCTGAGGTATGGCACAAGGATTGGAACTTGAAGAAGCGACACGAACTTTGTAGGATTTCAAATGGAACTGGATCACCTGCGAGTCAACTCCTGTGTAATGACAGCGTTCAAGTTGTGTAGGAGTTACCCAGAAGTCGATCACTTATAGGTGATGTAGATGGCGTTGTCGATGCTGTAGATGATGTGGATGATGTTGCAAATGATGTAAGGTGAGATTGATGATGTTGATGTAGAAAAGATGGTGTAGAAGATGTAGGTGATGTAGAGGATGTAGTGATGATGATGATGATGATGATGGCTATGTAGAGAAGATGGTGTAGAAGATATAGGTGATGTAAAGGATGTGGAGATGTCGGTGGTGTATGTTAGGTAGATGGAGTAAAGAACGAAAAAATTGGCAGCAGTTCTTTGGCAAAAACCCTTCGCAGGAGCTTTCGGGAATATTGGCCAGGTGCCATAGTATTGCAAACGCCTTTGGAAAGGTGGTTTTCGTAAAGTTTTTGCGCTGTGATTGCGCCTCGCACGCCCGGTCTCTAGAGTAAGAGCATCGGGCAATAAACAAATTTCGCATGTTACGTATTTGTTAATTTTCTTTGTTTCAGGCTGTTGGTGATAATCTTTGGGCCTATTATTATGAAATTTCCGCCCCGCTTCGTGCGGGTACTACTGCTACAAAACAACAAATATTATGGCACGAAATGATATTACACGATATGATACGTATAATATATATAATATTATACTGTATTATATTATGTATTGTCCATTCCACATTCCATATTGCTCCTAGCAGGTTATTTCGACACCAACCGCCTTGGTGTGCCAGGTGAGGACTTCTTTGTAACACTTTTTGTCTCTGATGTGCCACCCATGTGCCACTGGCAGCCTGGCTTGAGGTCGTCGACAATATGCAGATGAGCACGGAACTTATTATGAATTTTGAATGTGGAAAATTGGTGACCTTACTCAACTGCGGCTGATGCCATAGTTCTCAAATGTCATCAGTTGGTGTCTTCGGCACAGGAGTTACATGAGTATGATCGACTGCATTGAGTACAGCCGACTCTTTGATGATGGGGTACATCCTCAGCGTTGGGCAGAGGTGGGGATGGCCGGATGGGGTGCAGTGATCTGACACGGCACTTGGCGGCTGTGTCAGGCAGATTTCATGATCGTCGGGCCATCTCGCAGTGGTGCCTTGGAATGTCCATTCGGTTCAGAGCCTTGCGGCTGCGCCCACAAACTCTTCTTCAACTTGGGTGGAAGTTTCCTGCGATTTTGAATGTGGGTTGACGTGGTAGGCCTTATTGCGCAGCCGAGGTAAAACACCACTGTCCTTTTTCATGGCACAGCGCGGATACAAGGCCATGGGTTTGGGGTGACAAAGGTGGAAAGCAGCTCGTGCATCGCTGCAGGTGGCCAACTATCCACTGGTGACTGGTGAAACTCCTCCTGATGAACTCTGGAAGTTTCCGCAGGTTTCAGGGCTATGCCGGCTATGCGGGTGTGGGTCATGCTGTTCGTTCTGTAGACTAGCAACATAGCAACATAGCAACATGATGCAACATGGTAATATGGCATCCAGCCTTTGAAGGATCGTGTTTTTGCCTTGACGATTGAACCCAAGAAGCTCGCGGGCATCCGTTGGACTACTCAGTTTGAAATCTCTAGCTGCAGATGTCAGATCAGCATGTGCCCGTGGTAAATCTCTATTGGCTGGAGTAGAAGCACGATTGCAGTGCCAAAGGCAGGATGCACATTTTCACTCTTTTTCGCATTTGGGGATACCAAAGGCAGTATTCGGATGAAATCTCTGAAGATGAGCCCAAAGTCCACCTACGGCAGCCTTGGTGCTATTCGGGACTGCCATGTTTTTCCAGTTTGCTTTTTCCAGATTGACAGATGTGACATGATGTGACACATGTATACAAATGTAATATCCAAACCTACATGGCCTTCTTCAATTTGACACTTCGACAGGTGTTTATTTTCATTCTCGATCATTCCCGTCCAGTGAAGTTGCCAGTGGCCACCCGGCAGGAAGAGGTGAATTGGTGTACAAAGCTTTACAGGTGCAGCGCTGTCAGCACTTTCCTGATCCCTCCAAAGATGTGGTCGGCTGTGAACCATGGCGCATGATGATTTGCTATACGGCACAACATACATGTACGGCTATACACAACATCTTGTTGGTGATGAGTTGGATCAACTTTGGAACCATTCATTACATGGTCATGTCATATGATTTTGAGAGTTGAAACGAAGTATGTTTTCTGCCACCTTGCAGAGTTCTGGATTCAGGATGCATCCTCAATGGACTGTCCTGGTTGGTATCTTAGAAACGTCAGACAGTCCATCCATTAACATTAACAGGAAACACATTGCAGTGATTTGCACTGAATTGTCAATTCTAACATCATCACTTGATGATTACACCTACGATGTCACGGCTGATACCACACTTGCCCCAAGGACACAACAGACACAGGTATCGAAGAGAATTGCGTTTGGAGCTAAGCAGATGGTCGACCAATCAAAACAGGTCTATCAGTTGTGCTAGCGACCTTTGAAGACTGCAGGGGCAAACAAGAAGCCGTCGAAGCTGTCAGGCAATGATTCTCAAGCACTTGGACTCAATTGGAGTAGCAGGCCCTTCCAAAGCTGCTTTCTGGAAACATCTGGAAACTGTTGCGCTGGAGTTGGCCATCAGCCGAAGCCCGGGATGAAGGGCTGTTGAAGGATTTTGCTTTCAAAGCAGCAATAACGAAAGTGGCCACAAGTCATGGGCCAAACATGATCTTATACCATTCTTGTAAATTCTTTGTTGCAAAGCAATTTCCAAAACATTGGGCACTATGTCAACTATGTTGCAGTTTGAATCCAAATGCAGGTCGTGTCAGTGTGTCTGACAACCCTTCCGCCATTTGACCGCGGGTTTAGATTTTCGCCTGTATGCTGCGTTTGCCTGCGAGGGAACTCTTTAAATGTACTGGCTCGCAAGCCGCTGCGTGCATGGTCTTAGCAGGATCAATATTTGCTCGCCATACCGCAGGGTAGTGGTTGAGCACCAAACAGCTGCCAGAAAAGTGTGAATCTAATGGCCTTGCTCTTTGCGGCAGAATCGTGATCAAATTCTGTCAATTTCTGCACATTGGAAGCTGCTTGAATTTGACTTTCTCGAAACCAGTGGGAATAGCTTCACAACAACATCTGACTTTCGGGCAAGACTACCAGGAAACATGTCATCAGCACAGGAAAGAAAATCTGGCAGTACTTAAAAGGAAAGCTCTGCTGTGATGAAATATGATGACATTGTTTATTCGCGTAGAGGACCAGCTAGAGGCACGAACATTAACAGAAGCATTGCTGGTGAGTCTTTACTTATACATCTTATACATGGACTGACAGAACCTATACAGGATCTCCTCCGGACCGGCTTCACTTGTGCCATGGCTAGCTACCCAGGTAAGCCGTAAGCCCAAGGTGCTGAATGCCAAAGGAGACTTTGAGGCCGTGGCAAGAAATCTAGCAGTCATTGCGGTCCACTGGGTGGTGCTAGCGATCACCATCATAAATTAACCTCCAATCCATGCAAGGCGCCGTGAGCAGAAGGCCGCAGCTTTTGCAGTTCGGTCAGGCCAAGAGGGGTGTGTATGTGTTTTTGACAATAACAGAAGCATCAGCATTTGTTGAATTTGCGCAAGGTCACACGATTGAGCTTTGTGTCAAATGCGCGCAGCTGTGTGCTCTAATGCGAAAAGTCTGAGAGTCCGTTGCATTCCGCCATGGCATCCATCAAATATGATGCCGATTATTCAGATGCAGATGTAGTCGCACTGCTTCTTGGCATTGGACTTCATGGTATGTTTGGCTCTTTTGCAATCAGTTGAACGATAGCTATAGAGACCAAGTGCAGGGGTAAAAACCCACCAGCCTCCAGCTAAGGATGGATGGCATTGTACCACACTGGACCAAGACTGCTAGTGATGTGCCAGGGCTCGATACTACCAAACTCTATGAAGCACTGAAGAATGTGCACAAGGTGCACCTGGAGGGCTGGAGGGAGGGCAAAGATGCGTGCAGATCCCATGGCACCTCATCTTGGTGAATTGATTTGAAGGGATCTCATCCAGTTCCATCCATTGACAAGTGTTAACACTCCACAGGAGTGGCATGCCTTGGGAGACTTCGAGACGCTGGACCGAAAATTGCAGGCCAGGCTGTCATTCATTTTAAACAAGCTCTGAAGTCTGGAGAGTGCTTTGTATTTCTTCCCAAACCATGGGTCCACCAGTTTATCCAAGCCACCTGTTCTCAATGTGGGAAGAGAGGCACTTCTGGCGGTGGCGGCAGCAACCTCCTGGTTCACCAAGGAACAGCTGGATGACATTGATTCCTGGTGTCTAGAAGCATATCGAAGCATATCATATCATCCATTCTGATCCATTCTGATCCATTCTGATCCATTCTGGCTCTATGCTTTGGTTTTTGATGTAAAATCTGTAAGATTTGGAGATGTCAAACCTGGTGGGTTCCCGCGAGCACATCCGACTATCCGAGGTTGAATGAAGTCGCAGACTGTGGTGAAACAGAGGACTGGATCCAGAACTTTCCGGAGGACGACCTCCGCAATGCGGTGCTGGATAAATTGAGGCCGAGAATGCTGAGAAACGCTCATTTTCTGTTTCACTTGAGTGATGTTTATGTGTGACTGCGTATCTGAAATCCAAACGAACGAAATATATATAATTATGTATATATATATATATGTATTCACGTCGCTTCGCGACGGCAACCGCCCGCACCGCATCGTTGGGCAGCCGCTCGTAACTGCCAATGATGTCGGCCATTGAGACCAAAAACATCCGAAAGTACTGATTGTCGGAAAAAAAAACGCGAAGAATTTGATAGCGATGTATAGCGGACCAACACAGTTCAAAAAATAACGAAAAACATGAAAAAACGGCGAAATTGCTGTTATTTACAGTGTTTTTACGCGGTGAGAAGCAGAAACCACTGCAAATACCATGGTTTTTGAGGGTCAGGTGGCCAAAAACACTGTAATTGACAGTGTTTTTTTAACCAACGTCAAAAAACACTGGTATTTACGATGTTTTCATTCACACCGTAACATAAAACAGCGTAATTTACGAGGTTTTTGGAAGTTTTGAAGCTAGCCGTCAGGCATGCAGAAGACAGAAAAACACTGTAAAAACCAGTGTTTCTGCTATCACAAAACGACGAAAATCAGTCCGAAAACGGGTCCAAAAACTCAAAAATCCGCCTCCGGGCCCGGCCACCTGCGGAACCGCAAAAAAAGATGTTGCAAACCAAAAAATTGAGGTCAAAAAGTTGAAAAACACGGTTTTTTTTCACTTTTAGCTTGCCGATTTTGGACGGGCGCGTTCACGAACAGGTGTCTTCCGTACTGTTTTTTACAGTGTTTTTTGAAGGCGAGCGTCACGACCTATCAAAAACAGGAGGTTTTGGACGAATAATGGGCCCCCCCCCCCCAGGTAAACCTGTAACCTTTTTACGAGTGCCATCCGGAAGATCACGCCCCAGCACCTTCGGTGCGGGCGGATTTCAGAAGCATAGCTCCGGAAGGTGAACAAAACACACATATGCACAGAATGAAATATCCGAAAGAGGCTCTGAAACAATGCAGCTATGCAATGGAATTCAGCCACACAGCTGTAGGGCGCGAGAAGCGGATGTAACCATCGACACAGTAACTTAGATCAACTTCAGCTCGGTGCACCTTTGGATGATTTGGCGGTGATTTTGCATTTCTACGTGGTTGATTTCTTGGATGATCGAGCGCTTGGAATCAATGCCAGTGCAGACCTATATAACTTGAGGTGGCAAAAGCCATCACAGTGGAGTATGTCGGGGGCAACTTTGGCACAGGACGTGACTTGGCACAGTTTCTGAAAATCCAAGCATTCCAAGCTTCATGTTTCCTTACCTCCTGGCTGTCATGTTGTCATCAAGGCCACGATGGTTCCATCTACATTGATGACGATGGTCTCACGATCAAAGATTCCAGAAATCCGGGCATGTCGATGGTTTGGCAGGGCGACTTGCCCGAGGTGGGAGTCATAGCCAAAATAGCCATACCATGGCCATACCAATGCCATGGCTTGGTGTTGAGTTGCTAGGACCCCGAGCAGCTGGGGAAGTGCTTAACAAGCAGAAACTGGAATGAGACATGGGAGGACTGCCTTGGGCTTGAGCTTGTTGAGCTTGTGCTTTTGCCCTTCGCACAGCTTCCTGGCTTTGGAGATTCATAGCTTGTTTCAGCTGGGCATTTGGGCATGTGCAAGCTACACAATTCTGCACAGGAGGATGACTACTGATTTGAAACAGGCAGACCAAGTGAAGCAATGTAGGAACAGCCATTGCGCAGCTAGTTCTGCAGATTTGGCATTTGATCAAAAGGGTATGTCGGGTTATCCATGTTTATCCCAGGTCCCAGGACGTGTCTTTTGGATTTGGTTGTCGGTACAAACCAAGTGAATGAACACCAAGACTAGGGTGCATCCTTGCAACTGCGCGTTGCAAGAAAGTAGTCAGGCGTTGCCACGCAATGGCCTTTTTATTGTAACGTTTTTGTGTGGGTAGTGCCAGTGGAATCGACGGGCAATGATCCCCAGTCGAAATTGTTTGGCTCGCCACTTCGCAGCGCGCAGTGTGGCACCGTGTGGCACCGTTTGGTGTTCCCAGAAGTTGGAGCACCTCAGCTTGCCAACTAGCTGACATGGCATGACATGGCTATACATACAAGTCTCGCAAATGACGCAAAACACGTGCTGTCCAAGCACCCTTGAAGTGCAGCCTCTTACAGAAACTTCATTCTGAAAGATACTGCTGATTTCAAGAATTGCAAAGCTGATGTGGAGCTTGGCTCTGACCTCCCCTACCATCTCTTCCAGCTGACGCTCTTCTCAGCCAACAGTTTCACTGCAAGATGCTGAGACTGTGCCAGCCCACGGCGATGGAGGTAGAGCCGAGCGTCGACCGATCGAGCCCAACGAAGCTCAGGCGTTCTTTCGTGCGAGGGTGCCCAGTGCTGGGTCTGGGTAGAGAACCTTGATCGGCGACCAAGGATGAACCTTGATCATTTGGGACAGTAAAATAACCCGGCAGGCGTACTTTAGCAGGAGCCGGTCTCGTCTCTTTGCGATGTTGCTACGGCCCAAGGACACGATAAAAGAAAGATATGAATTGCAAAAGTGATCCAATAGTATCCCAAAGCGGGTAAGATGTAGACGTGGTGGAGTGATAATAAGGCCATGTCAGAACAAAAACCGATAATGAATTGTGCGAAGTATGGCACAGGTGATCCGCTGCCCAGTTTACATGTCCACCAGTGTACTCTCTTGGGCAAAGACAAGGCAGTTTACCCCACTGCATATGCATACATATAAATACAGAATGAATATAGTGAATACATTGCTCATGATTTGAAAAAAACAATAAAAGGCAAAGCAGCGATAATGTAATTTGGGCATGTTTGAAATAGCATGCAGCAATGCCAAATGGTTTGAACATGTTTGAACCTTATCCACCGAAGTGCTTCCCCGGCTGCACTTTTGTTGGGCGCTCGACTGGGGTGTTTTTAGGTGTTCTCGCTGCACTTTTAACATCCCAGGCCATCGACGCACGGGACGCTGCTGGTTTCGGGATCCGCAAGCTGTCCGTTTTGGATGTTGATGGTCTTCATGAGGCCCCCAAGGGCCCAATGCTCAGATGGTCTCCCGTGTCTGGGATGCTTTGAAACAACGGCTAGGCCCCGGAATGCATCGCCTGGGAAGATCGTATGGAACTTATCGCTTGAGTTGCTTGTTGTCCTATGGTCCTATCTTGTTCAAATGGGGGTTGTGAAGGCATCACGCTCCTCTACTACGCTGCGTGGCGAAAACGTGATCATTTTGTCAATGTTTCCCAGCTGCAGATAATGCGGGTGCACTTACAAACGACGAATGTCGGAGATTGTTGCGGAGACTAAGTCGATGCCCAAACCGATAGGCAGCTGTGGTGGTCAACTGGATGTATCAGGCATTTACATGCATTTACGGTACAAAGTAATACATGTGCATTCTTTCTTGAAGGCTTGCATGATCTTCCTTTCAGAAAAAATATGCAAACATATGATTGGCAGGTGCTCGGATTAGAATAAAATGAATAAAATGAAGAAACACAAGACCAGGTCGCAGACCTACAAACCTTCATTGGTGACAGTACAGCAGCCGTACAGCACTGGTGGATTGCGACGGCTCCAGGCTTTGCTCAAAGCCAGAGCAAACCCATCAGTGAGAGACGACGGTGAGCTCCTAAGGTAGCCATGGCGGATCCAGCTTTCTGCCAGAGTTAGCCGGGTCATGTTTCCGTGCGAAGTGACAACAGACAAATTTTAGGCATTTTTATGCAGGATACGTGGTAAGTTTACTTGACATCTATCAGAATCTATCAACATCTATTCAAGCGTTTGGACCGCAGTTCTGTGACTCTTTGCCTTCTCCAGATTGTACTTCAGCCACAGACGCGACTCCGTGAGGTCTCGGGCAATCTCCGGCCCAAAGCGAGACAGCTATGAACATTGTAGACGGTCTCCGCCGCTTGGCACCCGCGTTGAGTCCACACCTTTAGACTACTTGGTAACTACTATAACTATATCATACTATATCATACTATATCTAGAACTACTTTTACACTCTGATTGAGCAATGTGGTGTCAGTTGTGTGATACGACCAAACTGAGGAATGGAATCTGCTGCAAAAACCTCAAGAAGAATGGAATCGGAATGGAATCTGTTTGTAAAAGCTCTTCTGCTTCTTTCGGAACAGACCGTGCGGATGTCTGGAGCTTGCGTTGATGGCCTTTTAGCAGCTGTTGAGTGTGGCCAGTTTGGTGTTGAGGTCTGGTTCTGCCACGCACTAGTGCAGTTGCGCTTCAGGGGAAAGCGCTTGAGGGAAACAGATGCCCAGTGCGAGGCGGGGAAGGGCCGGTTGGCGTGGGATCTTGCCCCAATGAACAACCACCATATTATCCACATGGTTGCAGTGCAGAAAGTGAATGCCACAGGACCTTTGCCATGCAAATTATGAACAGAATCGAAGAGAGATGCCATGCTGTGCAAAAGTGTCACAGTGTCCATCTCTGAGAGGAAAAATGCCACAACTTGTGCCAGGACTGTGCGATGCTTCAGAGTGAGCGAAGTTCCAAGGGTCTGGTGCCTTCACTGGCCGCGAGCCTGAGATGGTCACCATAAGATTTGGTTCAGGAGAGGAGATCAGCTAGATGGCCAACATTTGTCCTGAGACAAAGGCTTGGCCTTGCGGCCATCGCTGTACAGACCTCAGTTGAACACCAGTTGAACAACAATTGAACACCAGTTGAACCAAAGTGACGTCCATAGCCCATAGATGTCCATAGTGACATCCATATGGCATATGGTGAGGTTGCGAGGCTTGCCTCTGGGAACGAATTGCCGACCTTGCCAGCTCCAAGGGTGTCTCCACCGTTGCTTGGATCGACAGAATCCGAGTGATGCTGAAAGAAACCCTGGTCAATGACCTTGATATTGAGCAACAGAATCCTGAAAAGGAATCCGTGTCTTGATGCCCAAAAGACATGAAGTCAATTGTCATATCCGACATATCCGTTTGTAAATCACGACGAAAGAGACCAATCCGGCGTCAAGGCTGCAGAACTTCTGTGTCCCAAGTGCCAAGCCAGAAGCTGAGGGCAGCATGGACTTAATGAAGGGGGGCTCAAATGTATTGATCTCCACGAAGTCAAGTGGCAGGTGTCACCTTGTCAAGAAGCAGAAGGTGGATTGTGCATTCTTCTACCTACAAACATATCACATACAAGCGGTTTATACAAATTGTATGTGATAATTATGTGATATAGGGAACATTGGGACACTATTCCTTCAATGGCTTATTGAATCGGATCTACGCAGGTGTCCAGCCCCCTCCTGAGCAGACCAAGAAGCAGGCACGGATCGCTCCAAGATCCCGCTGTGCACGGCAAAAGGTTGGAAAAACGTCGAATTTTCTCAAATTTCGTGATTCTAAAGAGTCAGATTCTGACTTGGTACACTTCAATCATGTCTTGGACAGCACCAATTTGTATCTTCACCATTTTTAGCAAGCTATGAAGCTATGAAGCAGTCTCAGGATTGGCAATGTGGCAGCTGTGGCAGCTTGGCTGACCTGTAAGCAACTCTTGGATCGTTTGGATTTGGCAGAGGGGGAAACCGCAGCTGCCCCAGCTTTGAAGGGACTGGCGAGTTAACTTGCGTCACCACGTCTGAGGGTACTCCAACTTTGCTCGGCGCGATACGTGCCGGAATTGCCAAGTGCCACAGCAGCTCATTTGCATCTGGAGATTTTCCTATTGATGGCACGGATTACCCTGAAGTGGTTTTCGGAATTGCCGAGTGATACAACCATCGCCGGCTCCCACATCGAAGACGTAAGTTTGGAAGCAGGTCCAGTTCTGGCTAGCAGTTTCTGCAACTGCTCAAACCTGAAAGCCATTTCTTGTCCACTATTTTCAGGCAGGCTGCACTATCGGTCTTGTGATACAAAAGTGCTTCGGAACCTAGGCATACATCCCCACAAATAGATGATGCCTTGACCTCGAGATACAGCTTTTGGAGCCACATTCAATCAAAATTCAATTCTTTAAGAGGTGTCCAATTTGAAGCCGAAAGAGGAGGTGTGGTCGCTTTTCAGTCGTTCTTTCATAGGCTTGGAGGTTTCTATGTCATGCTTTCAGCTTCATTGTCTCCATTATAATTCTCATCATCCTGCTGCACTACAGTTCAGAGAAGACATGATTTGCAGGAAGGCTCTCTTCTGCGGCAATGGCAAGTGCTTAGTGCTGAAGAGAGGAGGAAGGCCGCTACCCAAAAACCCACAGAGAATGCTGCGTGCACATGGATCTTATTTCCAAATTCGAACAGTGACGATGAAATACAAGATATACTAGATATACCAGCATGTTTTTCAACATGAACGTTGCCACCTGGCCTGTTCTTTTGAATCAATCCGTCTACGTGCCTATGAGGTGTCAATGGAGCGGTTTTTAGACCTCCCTGAAAGCGCTGCACCAGTCTGGTTCTGAGCGCAAAGTTTACAATTTTTGTCAAGCTGTTCTCTTCAGTGCTGCTTAGCCTGCTTAGCTGCTTCGGGTTCCCCTGAGCCCATCAGGTGGATGGTAGCGGTAGCGGTAGCAGCGGTAGCGGCAAAACTTCGAGGCAAAGACGGTGTCGCCAAATCAGCACGGTCCCGGGAAACTGTCGGTGTCGCCAGGTTCCGGGCACAAGATCCCCGAGCCGCAGCTTCTGTGAGATTGGGGGACACCCAGCAGGAGAAATCAAAGAAGCGAGGTTGGAGTCTTGTGATAATAAATACTAAAACTTCACTAAGATAGTTAAGGTACTAGTGTATACTGTAGATGTGTATAGTAGAGGATTGGAACGGCGGTATCAAGTGTATAGTAATGTATGATAATTTCACGTCAATTTCGAGTGACTCTGATTGCTTCAATGTTTTCGTGGCACTTGTGACGCTAGCGTTGCCTTGTACCAGAGTGATGTGATTTGCGATATTCCAAAGCGAGGGCCCTTTGTTCATTTTGAAACGACTCCCACGCAGGACAGGACAGCAGAACTTCACAAGGCGTAGACACCGAGCAGCAGCAAAGTTTCGGAGTTCAAAAAACCTGTATCAAGTTCGCACTGTGCTTGAGGCAAGCTCCCGCTGCGATGTAATGCGCATAATGGCATTGCTGGAGGCACGGGCATTGTGCCAACTTGGATCCAGAATGTTCGATCTGAGATAAACAGAGTGAATCGATGCCGATTTGTATGAAATATATGACGAAATACTCGATATATATATATATGTATGTTAATATATATTAATATATATTTAAGATAGATATGTATCATAATTAATAGCATAATATATATATAGAGTACATATTTAGGTTGTTTTCCCTGCCGCAAGCTTCTTCACTGCGAGATCCAAAGACGCTGCTTTGAGGCAGGAGTGAACGTGGATGCTACCAACGAGCTTCAATCTCAGGTCAAGTTCGCATAAATTGCAAGTCGCAACGGGTGGTATGTTCACCATTGGCAAGAGACTTGCATCCCAGGTATGGCCAAACAGCTGTTTTCCTGGCTGCTTACCACAATGCTAGTGAGGCAGGCTGTGTCGCATTTCTATGTGTAGCAGTTCTCATCATGACGATGTCACCTCCAGGCCATCAAGCTGCTTGCCTGGGCTGGAGCAGATGTGGTTGGCAGCTGAGGACAGGGATGGCTGCCAGCTGTCACCATATTGCCATATTTTGGTGCTGAGGATCGCCGGGCCAATGGGGGAGCAAGCCCTTGGACGTATGCTGCAAGTAATGACTGCAAAGGCGAATGGAGCCGAGTTGATGATGACCTTCCAGTCATAGGGTGAAGGTGGCACTTTGAATCCAAACTTATTCAAACTTCAGGTCGTCAGATTCCGTTGTGGCTGGGATTCTTGCTAGGTGCTGTGAAGGAGCTATCGGAGGTGCATTGGGATGTAGCGGTCAGCTTTGAGAGGAGTGGATTTGTCTCGAAAAAAGGACCATACTCTCTTGCATTTCATCAGCGCATCAGCACAGGAATTAGGCCGTTTTAGCTGACCGCTCCTCAAACAAATCGTAATTTGGTGGCACGTTCAACAAGGGGTGGTGGCAAGTCGTGCGAGGCGGGGGCTATGCCATCGACCACCATCTCTAAGCAGCTGGCGGCTCCGGCTTCCAAGAGCGCCCCAGAATTAACCTGGCTCATACCTGTGGACTCGGACCGGGTGGCCACTGAACTGCTTCACGATGCTTTACAGCTTGGATAGGTGAGGGTTTCATGTTGAACTGTCTCACAAATTGGAGGAAAGTCTTGGAGGGATGGCCATTTGATTGTGGAATTTATGAATAGCAATACTGTCGAGAATTATAGATATTATAGAGCAAGCGATTAGTTGTCGACATGTTGTCACTATTGTCATTGCAACTGCAAGCTTGGATTTCTCGGATGTTTGCAGGATCTTGCTGGGGCTGGCAGCTCTTTGTTGGATGGTGGCTTCGAGGAGCCTTTTCTCCACCAACTGGAGAACCTCTTCAAATCCTTGCCGGTGGCACCCAACACCAAATCCTGCTCATCAGATCGTAGCTACTACTGTGGCGCGCTTGAATGATGTTTGATATGGAATGGGAGGGCTGGAGATTGAAAACGAACAAACCTGTCGAGAGCGAATACCACCGGTGGTGTAAATCTCTTGACCTTTGTTTGCATCTCAGGTGATTCTGAAGGTTGGGTGCGACAGGCATTTGAAGCAGCTCTTGAAGGAATCCAGGAATTGGGAGTGGGACATGTGACCATGCCACACATGCGCTTTCTACACTACTCGCAAATCGGTGGAGGCCTTCCAGCACATGTCGATTTGGCTCGGACTGATGAGTTGGGGAGACGATCAACACACACCTTCATCCTCTACTTGTGGAACGCATCTCCCGAAGCTGAGACATCTGAAGCTCGAAATGCTGGTGGTGAGACTGTTCTTCTGAATCGCATGGAAGATAGTGCTGCCGCCACAGTGGTGGCAGTGGAGCCATGCAGGGGGAGGCTGCTTCTTTTTCCGCACATGTGTCCCCATTTGGCACGGCCCATTGCAAGTCCAAAGCTCCTGCTTCGTGCAGGCCTCAGTTTCATTGTCTGAAGAATGCCAACACTGGGCTTGAGAAAATTGAATTTGTTTTCTGACCTTGGGCAATTGTCATTTACAGCTAAGGTGGTGAAATGCGTCTGGAACTATCGACCTCGCAGCGCTGCGAGGGCTACCAACAGTTATGACAAAGCTTTGCAGCAATGTCAGTCTTTGGTCCCACATCTACCTCAACCTGCTGGAATCTGGCTGCAGTGGTCAGGGATTGCTGCACACTCCTGCTTGAGATGATATGGACAAGAAGGAATGCAACCAGGCTTTGCGCGGTCTGGTTCAGAAGCATCCCGTTGATTTTCCGAAGAGTGGACACGTAGCTCAACAGAACTTCCACCATGGGACAATATTCTTTGGACCGGGAGAGCGTTTTCTTCAACTACGGAGTTCATTGGGGTGATGTTCTTCCGGGCAGTGGGTGCGACTGTCAAGAAGGGAACGGAGCCATGGGTCAATGCAACGGCCTTGGCTGTCTGGATCTACACAGCTTCCTGCTGTTTCCAAAAAACAATGACTCCACACTCTGGGAGTTTGTGAGTGGCGATTACACCAGGAGATCTCACGAGATCTCTGCGCGACATCAAATTAAAGATGTAGTCCATGGAAACCAACAGGTTTGAAGGCAGGACAGAGGCCTGAAAAGAGGCCTATTTGTGGCTGGATTCAAAATTTCTGTTCCAGCTGTGAGAAAAGAATAAGAATTCGCTACTTGGAATAGAGCTAACTGTTACTGTATTGCTAGCTTGGGCCTGCCGGGGTAGTCCTATCCAGCACAAGCACAGTTTACGTGTCAACCCTGAAATGACAGTGGCGTGTTTTTGGCCAGATGCTGCACCAGCCTTTGTAATGAATAAGAATAACCAGTACAAACACCGTAACATGCGCAACCATTTTGGTACTATCATCCAATGCCCTTGTCTTTTTCCATCTTTTCCCCTAGACCATTACTGTATGGATTATTATAGATTCCAACTAATATTTATTGAAGTTCTTACCTCTGCATTCTGGCTCAAGCCTTCAGTGAAATGGATCGAATGGACCGAATGGACCGAATGGACCGAATGGACCGTGGAGACTCTGCAGATGAGTCGCATCGCCCGCATCAAAGCACTCAAAGCGCTGGGCGAGAAGCGCCAATGGCAGGCCGCCCTGAGGATCCTGGAGGCATCCAAATTCCCGAAGGTAGCAGAAATCTTAAGATCTTGGGACAGATCTTGTGACAGATCTGTTGTGACAGTTCTGTTGTGACAGTTGGGGGGCAAAATTTGGCAAAATGATGGGCAGATGGTAGCAGTTGCGAAGAACATATTTGCTGGGCTTCCTTTTGAGCAATGTTGATCAGCTGAATTCACGGATCGCAGGAGATGACAGAGAAGCAGGAGATGCCGAGCAAGCATCACTTCACAGCTGCCATCAATGCTTGTGCTCTAGCCTCAGTGTTGATCCGAAAAGCTTGAGAGGGCAGATGCTTTACGTGAAGGGAAAGCTTCGTCTCCTTCAACAGGTTGGCTTCACAACAACGTCATGCCGGGTTAGACACTCCAATCCTCAATGTCAAGAATACCAAGAGAGTCATCACTGACCTATCTTCATGCCATTTTCGTTCATGTTGATGTGCTACTGCTGAGGAGAGAGCAACTGCGTCTCCAGCTCAGTCAGTCTTCAACACTTTCCAAAAAAGACACCATCCTTTGATTTGTGGATACTGTTGATGAAATCAATGGTGCAATTCATGGTGCCCTGTTGATTCGGGATTCATGAAACCTTTCCATTCCCCAGGGTGCCATTCCCAGGGTGCCATGGGATATTATGGCCCAGCCCAGCATGGCCCGGCATGGCCCAGGTGGTCAGCTGCTTTGGACCTACTGCAGCACTTTGACCCCGATGCCATGGCCTTAGGTGCCGTCCTGGCCACGTGCGCCCGTGCGAAGCGCTGGCAGCACGCCTTAGAATTGCTGCTTGGCTGAACTTGGCTGAACTTCCGAACGTGTCGAAGCTCCCAACCTTGTCCTTCATCTGGTGATCAATGATGAACTATCCTTGTCCAGTTTTGTTTTGGTGTCAGGGGAAAAGGGTTGTTCATGGGAAAAACACACATACACAAACACAGAACTTTATCTTGAATCCATGGCCATCTTCTGGGTATTCATTGAGCCATTGAGTCGCCTGAGGCTTGGAAGCCACAGTGCCACTGTTGACTCCATGGGATGGGCGGCTGCCATTCGAGCTTGTGCCCATGCCAGTCGTTGGAGCAGAGCTTTGGTTGCTTGGCATGCCCGAAAAAGGCATCTTAAGGCCATTTTTTTGTTGCGATCCACCATGATCCACCGATCCAACACAGCAAATTACTGGTTGTTGTAGTTGGTAGGTTGTAGTTGGTAGCTGAGGAACTCTTGTCCCTGGCACGATTCTTGGCTGAGCTTTGGGCGTTCTGATGCACCGTGTATCGAAAACGCTCGAGCTTTCTCTACAATCCGAAACAGACGAATAGAGTTGAATAGAGGCTCCGGATGGCTCCGGCGTTCGTTTTAATTGACTTTGAAGTGTTATGATAAGTTATGCAAGCTGTGGCCATCTCAAGGTGGACTTCAGTTGCAGCATTCTACATTTTTTATCATTTTTTTAATCATTTTTAGAGCTATAACTGTTGGATACTGTTGGTCAAGGTCGTCCAAATGTCATGGCCTACACAGCTGCAGCAGTGGCCGCCGCGCACGCAGGGTCGTGGACTCTGGCGCTGCAGGCGAGGTTTGCATCCAGTGAATGTTACCCTCCCACCCAATCCCACCCACACACAGTGGGACACTTGGAAAAGCCAGGCTCAGGGGTGGATGCTACTTTGAAATACTTTGAAATACTTTGAATGGGATTTGCATGGTAAGGAAGTGTGAGTGAACGTTCACCCCACCACCCCATTGGATGGTATTTTGGATCGGGTTTGCATCAGAGTTGGGTGCGCAAATGAGTGACGTTGGGTGGTGGGGGTTCTAAGTGACGTTGCGGTTCCAAGTGACGTAAATCTGGGGGTTCCAAATGACGGCCTGACCTCCTTACGGGGATGTTTCTTTGATTGGTAGCTTACCGACTGCTGGTGGTTGGTGGTTTCTAATTTTTTTGCTTGTTCCCCCTGGTGCCCTTAGGAGGATGTTCCTCAATGACCACAATTTTTCGCGGGGGTTGAGACCACCAACCATGTTGAGACATAGGACTGGATCTGGGATGGAAGGATTCATCAAGATTGTTTCATTAAGATTGGCTGCTCCATCAAAGCACATCCCTCATTTCGGGACCGTACAAGCTTCAATGCACAAGCTTCAATGTACATACAATAGTGCCTGTTGTGATCACATTCGGAAACAAGGGTTTCTCTCCATGAACGTGTCGATTCCCTTTGAATCAACCGTTCCACTGCACTATATCATCTATATCATCAGCTGCAAGGTCCTTTCTCAAGCTCAGCTCGGCGCTGGAGATGCAGGTGCGGGGCGTCCAACATGACAAGGGGACCTGGGAGTCTGGGAACTGCCCGGCTTGGCTTCCAGGTGAAGGTCAAACCGATGTGGCCCTCTACAATGCGGTTCTGGGAGCTTGCGTGCAATCTCCGGGCCGAAGTCCGCAAGGCTTAGATTTGTGGCTCATGGGATTCATGTGGTTTGAGTTCATGCATGATTCTCGAAACGTGCCAGTTGGCAACAAAACGCAATTTTCTCACATCGCGCAACCAGTCAGGCTGGAAGGCCTGGGTTGCTGCCCTGGAAATACTTTCAACTATGGAAGCATCTGCAATTTCTGGAGACGAAGTGAGCCTCTTGGTTCAGCAAAACGGGGCCGAGGGTTTTGTGGAGCCAATCTTCCATGGGATCCAAAACCCATCAAGACCCCAAACCACTATATATAACCTGAACATTCACAAAATTACAATAAAGATTATAACAAACCAATGAACAAGACCCCAACACAACCTCGAAACATTACCCATCTTTGCAATCCACACACAAATTTCATTCAAAATACACCGTGAGAATAAGCCACAGCAACAATTAAACCCAACTACCAAACAAGAGTTGTCTTGTTCAAAAACAAACCAATACATAAGCCAATCCCCAAAACCATCACAGCAACTCACCACAAACGCCACCCGACCCCCCAATCTCTGCTTAAAATATATAAATGTTTAATAAATTTCAATAGTAAAGCTACTGAAATTATTGGTTACTCTTTATGAGAAGACTAGATGAATTAGATTTCAGTATCATAAGTCATAAGCTTTTCTTGGAAAAGTAATGTTTTGAGTGCCGCCTTTTCTATGATTGCATTCTTGTGAGAGTTGGGTGTGTGATGAGCTGTGATGGTTTTGGATATTGGCTTATGTATTGGTTATGTTTTGGAACAAGACAACTCTTGTTTGGTAGTTGGGTTTGGTTGTTGCTGTGGTTTATTCTTACAGTGTATTTTGAATGAAAATTGTGTGTGGATTGCAAAGATGGGTAATGTTTCGAGGTTGTGTTGGGGTCTTGTTGATTGGTTTGTTATAATCTTTATTGTAATTTTGTGAATGTTCAGGTTATAGTGGTTTGGGGTTTTGGGTTCAAGGTTGGGAAAATGGGCAAGGTCACATCCATATAACTATGAACAAATCCACGGGAGGTCATACACCCTGTTGTTGTTTTGTAGTGGTGGGATGCTTGCATCGGAGAGAACAGCGTAAGGTTATACGATGTGTGCGAGAGCATGCGAGCGAATGTCACTCTGGGAACAGACTCTGGCTGTGCTTCACTTTGTCCAAGACAAGATACTTGGCATGGAGAAAACATGTCGCAGGGTGTCGAATTCGAGTTTTTGCTTCGAGAGGATCTCTCAAGTTGAAGACTTGGAATGCCACTTTTCCAAGTTCCCACTGCAGTGGTCTTGGGGCAGCAAAATGCCGTCAAGCGAACTGCAGTCGCTGATGAGGTCAATCGTCACCACTGGCGCTGGCCTTCTCAGTTCTCTCATTGGTGCCCTTGGGCGTGTTGGTCGCTGGGAGGATGCTTTAGCTTGGTTTGAGGTGAGGGGACTTGGCGACAGACAGAAAAACCTGGGATGGGTTTGGATGCTGTGATCCAAATTGCTGCGGTAATTATTTTAGTGATGGCGATGACGACGACGACGATGATGATGATGATGATGACGACAATGACGATGACGATGACGAGGACGACGATGATGATGATTGATTGATGGTGCCTGTCTTTCTACAACGAAGGACTTGACACTGGCCTTTCCCATACTGTTTCTTTCTGCAGGGATAGCATTTCATGGGCTCATGCTCATGGAGACGAGCTGTTTCAACGAAATTTCCAGTGTGAGTTGTTGAAAAGCGCTGAACACACCTGTATGGAGCTCTATTCATGAATCGAATGGTCCAAAGCTGTGGTCACGATAGTAGCACCAGGTCAGCGAATGTGTCAACATTGAAGCAATAAGCCAACAAACCATTGTTTCCTGTGAACCATATGAAACCTGGTTCCAACTGTGTCGAATCAGAAGATCTTTGCGCCTTGTGAGGCAGCTGTCAAGACCCCACAGGCGGACAAGTTCAATACGAGGTGCTTCAGCTTGATGGGATTGGCGCATCGATGGCAACAAACAGCACAATCTGGGTCTAAAAATTGGGTATACCATGGTATACCAAAATGTAAATTTAGAATTCGAGAAAATGCTGATCAACCATCAGATCTGAGCTCGCCCTGTTTTGAGACAACTCCATTTAGCTCATTTCTTTGCCTGCCATTGATCTTTGTTGCTCAGCGGGTCATTAGCGGAGCACCACGTTGTCTTCTATACAAAGGTAGCAAACCAGAAAATCCATCACGACAGACTCAGGATCCACAATGCCGTGGCCAACGCCTGCGTCAAAGCTGCGAAATGGGAGCATGCGTTGTCCATTTTTCAGCAGGCTCAAGATCCAAATGCTGTGCCCCAGATGGATTCAGCTGAATGGATCTGAACGGTGATTTCCTCTCAAGTCCGGGGCTGTGTCCTTTTGCCAAGGCCAGTTACACAATTGCCTTGCATGCCTCTGAGCATGGGAAGTTCTGGCACGGGGCGCTTCAACTTTTACAAGACATGAAGGCGCTTGCAAGCCAAAACCAACAGAACAATGCTGCAGGGTTGATGTTTAATATGGGTGAAACAGTTTGGCCCGCATCGATGAATTTCCACCTGGGAATTGCTTCCGAACTGCGTCCTAGAACACATCCAATGAGTTCCTCTACTCTCAGACAGGTGGCTGCTGTACAGCCTGAACTGGCAGATTTCCGAATGGTGGCCAGGCCGGGAATGTCCTCATGTGTTTTGAGTCATCTTGAGTCAGCTTTCCGATGAATCCAGATAGGCTCTGCTGCTTACATTGCATGAGACATTGCTCAGCTAATACAGGTCCTTGGGTTCTGGAGGGCAATGGCAGCTTGCTTTGCTGCTGCAAAGCCTCGCAAAAGGCGACGGGGCCTGTCCGGAGCTGGGCCTTTTTTCAGCTTGAAAGATGACTTGAAGACAGGTATGACTCGATACTGGGACCGCACACCATGATATCCAGGCCAAGAGTGATGCCTTCAAGAATTCTTTGCAGGAGAGGTTTCTGATCGAGGCGGATCGCTCTGGAGTGCAGTGGTTTGGGCTTGCCAGGCGCAGGGAAGCGCTGGATCATTCACGGCCCTGTTGGCCGTTGTGAAGCTAGGTCGACTACAGCGAGGGCTGCCATGATCCACCACATGATTTCGCCAGGTGTCTGGTATGCCCCGGCCCTTTCCACCGCCTTGGGTCTATTTGGGTTCATGGAAGGAATTTAAGGTCTTGATGCAGCTGGGTTGCAACATCGTGAATTTATACGGATTACGAGAAGCAGAACCTGCGTGAATCGCAAAGATCCATGGATGATGGGAACACCAATGATCTCCTGATGCTCCAGTCTGAGGTATGTGCAAGAACATGCTCCAAGAGGCGATTTAGATGCAACGCTTCAAGCAGTTGAAGACTTTGCCCAGGGGGTCCAGTGGTTAAAGGCAGGTTTGATGCAAGTGCTGTGTCAAAAAGCCAACGCATTACAAATGACCTGCAGACCAATGAGCCCTCGCAATGTTAATTTTTTCGTGCATGTCCAGTTTTGCAGATTCTTGGTGGGTCCAAAGCCCGCATTCTTCAGAGTTGCCTTCGTCCTGGAGATGCTGTGTTGGAGTCTCTTGACTGATCCTTGATCCTCGGGCACAAAGGAGTGAAGGTGGATCCACAACGAGGAAATCCAGCAGTTTAGATTCAGGGAAGCAGTGTGAAGCAATACTATTTGTCCAGTCTTGACAAGTTTGGGGCCGGCTGTGATTTTTTTCAGATCTAGCCTAGTGCAGACTCACAGGAGTGTTGTTTGAAGGAAGCCTGCCCAATGTCCCATAGACATGGATTGTATGGCTAGGTTGGGAAGCTACGTGGGCTACTCCTCACTTTTGCTGCTGCGGCAGTTGAGAAGACTTGGAGGTGGAGGATCTGTGTTCCTAAGCTTCAACCAGGGGCTCACAGCTGGTTCACAGCAGGGCATCGGAAAAATGTGTGGTTTGAAGTTTGAACCACGACAGTTAAACCGAGGACTGCATGCGATCAAGACGGCGCTGCAGTGCTAATCGCACAAAAGCTTCTGGAGTGGGCTGCGCCGAAGCAGTGCGAGGCCCGGGTTGGAAGCCGCCACAGTGAAGGAGTGTGGAACCAATCTAGAGATCCCAGATGCTTTGCAGACTTTGCAGACAGATTAATCCCTCAGGGATCCCAGACTGCCTTTCTTAGCTGCAAAAGATATTCCATTTCCATCCATTTCCTGTTTTAAGCAGTCTTGTTTTAGTGCCCGAATCCTTCGCAGTCCATGACACAGGTGACTCTACTGTCAGGGCGGGCCAAGGACTGGCGACTTGACTTCACAGCTGTCGTTTGCAGTGACAGTCACTGTGTATGTTTTGATTTTCCGATCGTCCTGGTCGTAACCCTTCGAATTTCGGCACTGAGGGCTGAATCGCAGCGCTTCAAACAAGCAGATCTGGTCGCCAGTGCCTTGGGATATCACACTTTGCTGACTTTGCTTAGATAATTGAGCCATTCGAGCCATTCGTCTTCTTTGGGTGCTCAGCTTGCCCTCAAGATTCGATTGCAATCTGTCCATAGGTCTTGGATCATCAATCTTCCAGCTACGCCCCCGACTTTGCCTTGATGGCGCTGCAACAGCGGCGAGCGCTGGTTCGCTTCTTTGCAGACAACGCCAGACGCTCAGAGGTGTAAAGGTGCAAAGGTGAACCCTAAGTCCCTAAGTCCCTAAGTCCCTAAGTCAAGTATTTGCAAAACTTCTGAAGTCAACGATGCGCAGCTTTTTATCATTTTTTAAATCAACTGTCCTGTAGTTAGTGTGCATAAAACTGTCCAGTTTTATCTGGATCCATTCACACAAGAGCAGCTTGCACTTGCAGAAGGTCTGTGTCCAGTCCTTCCTATGCCACGAATGGTGAAGGCCCCTTGTCAACCACATCGAAAGCAATCCCAGACTCAGGTTCTACACCCTGGGGCGCCACAGTTTGTTTACCTTCTACATCAAGCTGCTTCAACGGCAGCAATCCACGTTGCTTGCTTGCTTCAGTTCAAATTTTGAATCGGAGTTCATAAAGCCAAACGAAGGTTGTTAACAGTAGCAAGCCCCAAGACAACAAAGTCAAAACACAGCTGCTGTTTCCGCTTTTTATGCAGCACAAGGCTGTAATTCACGAGGTGTCCTAGCCTCAGACATAGCTTCCAAATTTGCTATGGCTGATGTCACTGAAGTCGATGATGTCCTTCTTTTGATCTTTCGAGCTTTGACCTCTCAAAATGCAATGATTTGGCACCAAGTCACACTGATTCGTCACTAGATGACTAGATGTCACTCTACAGGACTCTGTAAAGTCCTGTTCAAGCTTTGCACCCATGGGAAGAGGAGTCCACAATGAAGGTTGCATCATGTTGCATCCTTTGTGAGGTTCGAATTCTCCCACAAACCTGTCGTGGAAGACTGGGTTGCCGTGGGCGAACTGCATGTGCAGAGGCGGCCAAATGATGCCAAATGTAAATCATAGCGATCCATCACTTAATCTTCGCACCATAGTCTGCCTTTCTTCTTCTGTTGTTGTTGTTGTTTAATGATGAACTGCCCAAATAATGTTCTGCTGGAATTACATTCTAATGCTTGCTTTGCATATCCATCAGCAACTGGCTGCCGTGCAGGTGGGATAGTGGCATCCTTCAGCAGTGGCTTGGCGGATGCTTTTGCCTGGCATATTTTGGTATTCTGGTCCATTCTAATTTAGTATATAGTACAATTGGTACCATCAAAAAGAAGGGCACTTTTAGTTTCATTTGCATTCAATTTCATTTGAGCAGAAGAGCCTTCTCAAAAGCGTTCAGAACATGACCGTCAGCTACCTTTCTCCTTTTGACCGAGTTTCTGATGTGAGAGCCAACTGGGATACCTGATGAGCGAGAAAATTCTTCCCAGTTCTCTGCGTATCTTGTGGGTCTATAGATACTAGAATGTGGAGAGTGGGTAGGTTAGGTTGGCACAGAGCTCATTAGGAAGCATGCCAGGTTTTCCGTGATGTCCTGGGTTGAGTGCTCTGTGAGGATTTTTTTTTGCCCTGAAGATTCAGGAGGGATTTTGCTAAGATACAAACTATACCTTTACACTCTGGGCCAGATTCCAAATGTGAAAAAACGATAAAAAAGGTCATCTTAGAGCCGCTGAGCTGCGCTGGGGCCCCTTCTGGTCTCTGGTCTCCAGGTGTGCGGAAATTCGTTGTTGGTCCGCAGAGGTGGAGCAGATCTGTCGCTACAGTCAGAGGTCCAAAGCAGCGCCGGACTGGACATCTTTTCAGGCGCTGTTGGGCTGTTGGGGATCCGGATGGAGATTTGGGAGAGGGCTGAAAGATTTGGAGCGAGGAAACACATTGTTTGATGTTGTTTGAGGTATTCACCAAACAGAAACGCCTTTTTATTCCGCAGTTTGTATCGGGCCTGCACTTTTCACAGATTTAGTGATTTAGTACACAGTTCTTTTGGCTTTCAGACTCTGCATTCAGGCAGAGCTCCGCAAGGTCTTGAAGCCTTGGGTCACTCGGCAGATTTGGCACTTGTATATTGCCGAACACAGCAATTGTCTTCCCAAAATGTCACAGTTTGAGTCAGTGTGACTGTTTTGCACTGAGGTTGAGAGTCTTCAAAGGCAGAGCAAACAGTGTGTGAAAGGCGCAAAAGGAGACTGGCTACGGATTGGCTTTTTCCAAACTCGTTTACGGAGTCCAAATTCTTATTTGACCTGTTGTATTGTTAATTGTTAAAAATTCTTAACTTTGTTTCTGAGACCATTTGGAATTTGGTGAACATTTTAAGACATTTTTTCCCTGTTGCTGTTGTGGTTCAGCATTCGGAGCCACGGGGCTCCACTCCATCCATGCGGCCACAAGTTGCAGACGCCTCCTGAGCACTTGATCTACTGAGTCTACTGGTAATCTGTCGATTTTTCCGGTGACACGGTGACACCGTGCACTTGTGCTTGTTGAGGTCACAGTACAGTGTGTCCCAGCCGGGGCCTTGGATCTGTCGACTGAGCCACTGAGCCATGCAGCCCCCTTTGGATGTAACGCAACGGCAGGTGAAGCCGCTGCAGCACAAGGATGGGGACGTAACGCGCGTGTAGCGCGCGATACTGATGCACCTGCGTATTGATCCGACAGATGGAAATTTCTTTTGCTGGAGGGAGTCATCCACAAGAGTCCAGAATCCGCAGAATCATCCATAATTATCGACCGTTTGATGGTCTAGTGTGGGGTTGGGGAAGCCTATTTTGTTGGGATATTCTTCCTCCAAGACACGCAGCAATTGAAACCAATCAGAAAGTTATTAAAAGTAAGGGTTGATTAGGTTGATATTTGAGACATCATATTCTTTAAAAAACATGATGATCTCCAGTGTATGGCAGATATGTTGATATGTTCCCAAGTGACTCCCAGCCGCGCAACGCCAGGAGGTTGTGCCTCGGCGACTCCCTGGATGTCCAGATCGCGGCGGCGGTAGAACAACCCCCAGCCCTACGCGCCAGAGGAACGTCAGCGCAGACAAAGTGCTGCTGGCGATCTTCCCAGCGGATGATTTGTTCAGGGAAGACATATAAGACATAAGACATATGGTTAATATACAGTTATATTTTATGTTATGTTATTACTAGTTATTACTATAATGTACCCAATATTTATGATTATTTATTGAGAGTCATCAAAATCCATGAGCCGGAATTTCTTGTTTATCTTGTTTGCAATGGACATTTGATGCACCTTGATGGAAGGGCTGGTGGGGTAACAATGATTTTTATGAAATATTGCGAACCCTCAGAGGCGGATCCAACAAAATCAACCATCGCAACCCCCCGGACACAACTCCTTGGCGATTACATTGCCATGTTCACATGCGTAACGGCGCGTAACGGATGTCATAGGCTGTTCAGTGCTTTTTCATGACCGTTTCAGATATTCCAGCCATGACAAGGTCCCACCTAAACTCTGCCGTCATGGCCAGGTTGCAACAAATAGCCCTGTTCGCTCACGCAGTTTGCCTGATGAATCTGATGAGGCTCGCTAACAGAGACAAACCTACTAAATGCATCAAAATGTGCCGTTCAAGAATCAGATTGCAGACATGTTTCAGCAAAGTGACCTCTCTGAGGCCCTAATTTGTGAGCCTGTCACAAGGAGCAACTTGCCTGGCCTAATCATGAAAATGCCCCGATATGACGTCAGCTATCTTCGCCGATCAAATTCAGCCGTTTTTGGAAACTCTGAGGTTCCGTTGCGGAATGTGGAACTCATTCCGAACCGCTCTCTGGACAGTCTGGGGGATCTTCATGCTCATGGCATTTCATAGCAAAGTGTAAGCAGCTGTTTGAGTGCATTCAAGATTTAGCCACAGCCACAAGTGGACTATTCTTGACAAGTACAGGCCAACCACTTTGCATACTTTCGATCCAAGCTGATATGTTACTGACCCATCGACCCACCTGCAATCAGCCGCGCTACGAATGACAGCAGTGGAGGAATGCGAAGCAAATCTCCTTCGCCATCATCAGCAAAGTCAACAACCGCAGCTGAGCTCTTGCGAAGGAAGACATTGTTGAAGAAACAGGCCTGCAATTCATGCTGTCTTGTTACTGTATGTGTTGGCCCTTTTCACGCACCAAATTGGGGCGACTGCTGTGTGTTTAAAAATCAGGGAATTCCGTATACCGCTGCTCTGATGCATCAGGCTCAATCCTCACCCTTGCTGCTGCCACCAAGAATGGGCCAAGTGAACTCCAGGAGCAGCTCTGTTGCGGCCTTAGAAGGCCCCACGATCTGACTTGGAGCACTTGGAGATAGTGATTGGTCCGTGACACACAGCAAGATGCTGATGATCATGAATTCTCTGAAGTGGTGATGATTCTGAACCTTGATAATCTTGCGAATTTCGTCTCATGTGTGTTCGATCCAAGGTAGAGACAGCCAACTCCGCTGAAAGTAGGGCGAAAACGACCCCGCGATCACCGGCATGTGGGCATCTCAGCATGACGCTGCCTCGCTTGCCTCGCTTGATACAGATTTGCTGTTATCCCCTGCAGATATCCATGCAACATCAAGTATCAACTCTAAGAAACATCGCAATTTTCGTGACATTTTGTGCCAAGTAGCGTGATCATTCCTTCCGAACTTCCAAATTCAAGCAACCACCCTGCAGGTGCAGTGACATCTCCCAGCGGTTACTTGGATCATAGTCGCTGGATGCTGCAAGGAGGTGGAAGCATTTGATGGGTGAATCCTTTCAATTCAAACTGGAATGTTTGAACACCATGACAGCTAAAGCCAAAAACAATCGAATGAAAGTCAATACAAGGGACACGAATGGAAGATGCTTTGGATCTTTAAACTTTAAACGATGGGTTTTTCGGCAGCTGTGCACCAGTCCACGTGTTTTTCTAGGCACTGACGATGAGCATTGCCCAAGCATGGCTGGCAGCAATGGCAGCCTGGAGACTTCACGTGCTCGTCGGCGCCTGGAGCTGAGTGCCACACCAGATGTGGCTCATCAATGGCTCTGGATGGCTCCGGCCTCCGTTCTCCAAATGGCTCAATTATTCCCAAGTGATCCAAGTGAAGTTTTTAGGGCCCAACACTACCACTCAGTACCACCATTGGCCAACAGCAACAAGATTCTAACAAGTTCATACAAGTTCCACAATTCTGAGTGCCAGTGCCAGTTCTGTTGCATTTTTACTTGTGGGAAACAGCCATGCCTTGGTGGCGGTGAGGTTCCAGTGGCGACATATCGGAGGTCAATGAAGACATTCCGAGGGCTTGGGGCACAGTGGAAAGAACTTTCAAGGCCTTCTGTGGAATCAAACCAGGCGGAGCTGGGAGCTGTGTCCATTCTTTTCAGCATCGAAGGTTTCCAGTGGAGGTCTTCCAATTGAAGGTATAGAAGAGCACTGCCACCCTTTATCCACATCACTGACCTCTTCAAGAATCTTTCGTGGCGATGTCTTTTATTGACCAAGATTTTTTGGGTGCCCTCTTCAGACATTCTTCCCCTTGATCGAACGTGGCCCCAGTGATGTGGCAGAATCACTAGCTGCAGGAATGGATGGCAAAACCTTCGCAAAGCTTTGCAAGGACGTTTAACTCACAAGTGGTGGAATGGATTTGGAGGGGCCAAGCGGCCAACCATCACCTTTTGCTGCAGAACATGTTACGAACTGCATGCAAGTAGAAATTGGAGCATCAAAGTAACCTGTGTCCTCACAAAGATGTGGTTGATTCAAGTTGATTCTCAAGACTTTGTGCCAGTCAATGTGTTATTCTCAAGAGATTTTGACCCATAGGCTCCCTGGCAAGGATGCAAACATGGTAGACAAGTCCTTGACCAAGACAGACGTGGACCTCATTTTCGCCAAAGTGGTTCAGATCCTTGCCCGCTTCGGCCGCCTCGTGCTATCTCGGATTTCAAGTAGATACTCAAGGGATGTTTATTTTCCCGACAAAGTGAAGATAGCAGTCCCACATCCAGTAGAGAGTAGAGGGGAGTTTCAACTGTCAAACCTAAGCGTTGGTTCAACCAAATACTTTGTAGTCACACTGTGATCATACTCAAATACTCAAGCTTCTAGACTCCCTAGACATCAGCTATATAAAACAACCTGTCGCAAGTGGGTCCAGATCCAGGTGTTTCATGTTGACCATGGACATTTACTGAACATCAGAGCTGGACGCCCCGAGGAAAGGCGGCCGGCGAATTGGCTTGGAACACTTTGATGCAGCGTTGGAACTGATCGCAGAGAAGAAGGGAATGCGACTAGAAGATGTTTGGTCTCACGTCAGGCCGGAGGGAACGTGGAATGTGGAATAATGTGGATGCTTCGTGGATCACCTGCTCATCTGCCTTGTCAATTGTGTTCATTAAATTTCATTAATACATTCCTTTTGGGATGCCACGTGAGTTTGCATTGTAGTATTGGTCAATAGGTTTCACACACATCGGAGGTGTTGCGGTGGCCCAGTGCTCACCAGCACCAAAGCGGAGACCGTGCGGTTTTATGATGACAAGAGCACCTACACAGGGACGCATGCTCAAGGAGGGCCTGACCCTGGCCGGAAAGGAAGGGGTACTGGATTGTACGGCTCTCAGTTTCTTTCAGATTGTCACTAGACAGGTTTGGTCATTCTCAGAGAGATTTCCACACCCCAACGGGTAGCGGATGGCCGGTGGCTGAGGACATGGTCCGCGACTACACCATCCAGCGCAGGTGTCCCGAATTCCCCAAGGGACTTCGAGACGATCATGAGCCTTCCGGGCCTTCCGTCAGCGCTGACCTCTGTAGGTTCGATCGACGACGGGAGACGTGGAACTGGTCGAGTGGGAAGCCTCAGCGAGAAGAAGATTGCGCAGCAGTTGAGGGGAAAGGATGGAACCGTAGAGGACAGCCATCATCGCACCACTCAAAGGAAGCTTCCCAGTAATGTTGGCTTATTTCCTAGTCACAGGAGTCCCAGGGCAAAATGAAATAGACAAGAACATCAAGAACTTGTCAAAGGAATTTGCACCAAACCCATGTGCTACATATTGGTCCATGTGTATACTCCAGCTGCTTCTGTCCATCTTTGTCATTTTATTTGAATGTTCAGGACACTTTTAGAGCTTACTGCGCGAACAAGCCTGACTTAGATGGGAAGAGCTTCGTGAAGTTGTGCAAAGATTGCGAGATTGTGGATGATGTCTTCACGCAGATCGATGCAGATCTGATCTTCGCCAAGGTTGTTTCCAGAGGTCATCGTCGGATCACCTTGCATCAATTCGAACTCGCACTCAGAATGATGGCGCAGAAGAAAGGTGTTGAAGAGGATGAGATTTTCCGGCGGGTTGCAGAATCAGAAGGTGTCTTGCATGCGGGGACACAAGCCGACTATGTGCGATTCTTTGATGATAAAAGCACTTATACCGGCACCCACCTTTATGGAGGCCAGCCTGGGAAACTTGGGGAACCTGTTTTGAAGTTGCTTTTGTGGAAAAGAGTTGTGAGGACATTCATATACATTCACACATGTCAGAACTTGTTAGGGTACTTCTATGGGTGGTTGCAGCATGTTGCAGTCATTGGCAAATCCGTCAAATCCTCCAGAAACATTGCAAACAGCCCAGCCGACAGGTCCTGATAATACCCAGAGAAGCAGCTTCGATCAACTATGGAGCTCCGACTTACGACCAGATAATGCAACTGACGATCGCCTACCAGAAGCTTGGCATAGAATTCCAGAGTCTTTTTCTTGCCAGAGACTAGATTGACTAGATGAGTTGCCCAGATACAGTAACTTTTCAGTACCAACGAGAAAGAATGCACTGCAGGACATGGTGGTGACGAAGATTGCAGAGATCAGCCCCACAGCAGGACGTCCCAATCGTGCTCCCTGAAGTCTAGCTGGGACCACCCAGAAATTGCTCTATCCTGGTTGCTGTATACTGGTTTCCCAACCCAAGCTGTTGAAAACAAAGAGCTGGCATGCTTTTGCCCAAAGAAACGGATAGAAAAGGATAGAAAAGGATAGAAAAGGATAGAAAAGGAAGATAGAAAAACGAAGGTGATGGACCATTTTTACACCTTTTCCACTGCTCATCTGGAGCAAAGTTTCTGGTCCCACAGTGCCAGGAGGTGGTGGAAGAGCTGAGCGGCCAGCAGCTCCTAAGGCAGGTCAAATCCAACACGTTTTTGCTTGAGAAGTCCAGCAGCAGGATACCGATACTCCGATTCTCACGGTGTATTTCTGAAAGTTTCAGAAGAACAAGGCATCGGTTTGTCGACAGGCGCAGCCAAGAGCGCGATTGGCTATCACCGCAAAGAGCAAACCTCCCCAAGGGAAGAGCGACGACTTCACTATGGTTTTCACAGATGTGCAAGGCAAAGAGACGGACATATATAGGTTCCATTGCATGTTCCAGGGATTCCTGTGAGTCAAATCATTGAAATGTATTCAGCAACTTGAGAGATTTTCAATGATTTTCATGTTTTCTAATAATCAACCCAGTTCCCGCATGGATCTCGAGCGATTCTGCGCGAGGCTCTACGTCGCTGTGGGAGGCAAATCCTCGGGCCATGGAAATGGCGTTGAGACTTCACGACGCGACGATCCGCCAAGTCTTAGCCAAACACAGTGGTTACGAGGCATGGACGAGATTCATGCAGCCGGTCCGTTTGAAGGATTAGAACCAGTACATATTGAAATTACCATTCCCATTAGAAATGGTTTCAATATGCTTCAATCATCAAACCCATGCAGGTGACAACCGAAGGAGATGCGTTTCAAATCGCTTTCCACGACACCTGCGACGCTGTGGCTTTTTGCCTGGACACACAGGCAAGAGCCAGCTTCATATTCCCAGCACCATGGGTGTGACCCCAAATCCAAATTCTTATCATCATGCATTCCCCAGAATTCAATGGAACCTTTTTGGGGTATGTAGTTTATGTATGTTCATGTATTTGTTATATTTTGTTATACCATTATACACCATTCACCGTTGTAGCTGCAGTGGATGCTGGACCCACTGAAACCGCTGACATTTCGAGAGTCCACTGACAAAATAGGCAGAGCTGCTGCGATGCGAGTGGCCAGCTGCCACGTTGCAACATCCTGATGCTGCCGCACAGGGCCTAGATCGACCACTGCAGAAAGACATCTTTTGATCATTGCCAGGCTTTACAGGGGGAAAACACTTTGAAGCTGAAAAAAGATATGACTATGATATGACTATGACTATGACTAATCTCTGTGATCATTTACAGGAATGAATAAGAAAGCCAATTGCAAAGGCCACAATTAGCCACAATGCCTCAGAGTGAGTTGCAGTGATGAGTCGTCAACGAGGCCAGCAGTGATGGTGCGTGGAGAGGCCTTCGCGTGCGCATGGGTCTGCATTCTGGTCGGCCAGCCTCTGTCACCAAGCACGAGGCAGGATGTAGCAAACAGCAACGAGCCCAAGCCGGTCCCAAATCCAGTGGGTTACTGGATCCGCAACAAATATCAACATTATCAACTGCTCAAAGAGCGTCTTACAGTGTCTGCCCTTGGGCGGAACGTGGCAGAACAGACTGAAACCGATCTCCTCGTAGGTGACTGGCCGCACACGATATGCAGGGCCGTCAGTGGCGATGGCCAAGGCGATAGAGGCGGGGAGCAGCCACCGGCTTTGGCTTTGAGCCGTGCATGCCGTGCCAATGTCTCATGTTGTCCCCGTCCCAGCCATTCCGTTGCGTTCGACTTGGTTCCGCTGCCAGGGCGTTTGCCATGGAGGTCAGATCATCATGTCAGCGAGCAGCTTCTACCTGATTGATGGACTGCTGACACTCCTTGGCACTCCGCAGGCCAGGACAGAATCAAGAAAGAGAGGCTTTTAAAAAGGAAGACATTTCCAATTTTCCAAGTCTCGCTTGGGCGCGACTTCCATAGTGTTTCAACGTTTTATGTTTCTCCTCAACATGGGATCAGGTGGTATAATGACGACACCTATTCCTTGAAAGATCCAGGGGTTTCAGTTTTTCACTCCCAATTCTGAGGACATTCTTTTGTTTTCTTTTGTTTGGAAAGGCGGACATTTTATCTCAAGGTTACGGAGTTGTCCTATTCTACTTCGGATCTGACCTAATGCACTTCAACGTACTGCAACAGGGCAACATCATCCTGTACTGTCTTTGCCCCTCGTGAAGCAGGTACAATAACTGGGAGTAGTACCTCCTCCCAAACCCTTGCTGACCGTGATAACATATGTAGGTTGATCACGGTTGATCAGGTGGGAACAGCCACACAAAATACACCTCCTTGGACCTGGCACCCTGTGAGGTTGTTGACCTGGGAGAACACATTTTGGAAGGGCATGGTTTGACGGAGGATGCATCCAGAACTGGATGCGCTGGCCGAGCCAAAGTGCAGCTTATTCAACTAGTGCCTGATGCCTTGGCTCATGCATACTCCTGCAACTTGACACGACTTGGCATGACTTGGGTTCATTTCGTGCTTGAGGTCACGACTGCAGAGCAAAGGAGTTCTGTTGTATTTTCACATATGAGCCACGATATAATTCAATGATATATATAACCCCCTTATGCATGTAAGTGCCGCGTACGCCTTGCGTAAGCCTTGCGTAAGCCTTGCGTAAGCCTGCGTAAGCCTTGCGCAAGCCTTAGGTACCCCGGGCCCCCCGTAAGGAAAATCCTCAGCGGCGTAAGCAATGCCTCAGCTGTGCGAAAGCACATCCTTACGACCTTTAAATCTATCGGGCGAGCACTTCGTAATCTATCAAGGCTTTCAGATCTTTTAGCATGGCTCATATGACAATGACATCACTTCCAAAACGAATCCAATTCAACAGAGGCGCCTCATAGCTTGGTGCTGGAAGCCCCTGTCACCGAGGTGAGGATCAAGAAGATCCATCATCTTTCACAGGTGGCCGTTTGTTTCCACCCATCGATAGCGAGCAGAGAGTCCTGCCTGGCTTTGTGGAATCACCTGCAGGGTCTATGCCTCAGCAAAGTTTCCCTAAAAGCCATAGGAAGCTCATCTCGCTATCTCAGGTGACACATCATTATTCACGGGATGGTGTTGCTGTGGATTCAGGAATTCTACAACTCACATTTTTAATGAATATAATATAATATAATCACGTATTAGATGTTTATGACTGTTTTTTTGTTTTGTTGAATTTCTGGCTTTTGATGACTTCAGCAGTGTCTGAGGCCATCCATCACTCTCTGCTTCGTTTTCACCCAGGGTGCAAGGGAGTTGGTGGCCACCGATCCCATGCTCGCGAATCAATCCCTTGGGCTATTGTGGGAAGCTTAGGAAAGATATGGAACGATATGCAAAGATATGGAAAGATCATGCGAACATGTCATGCCTTTGCCCAACAATGGCGTGGATGTATATCCTGATTTTGGATGTTACACACACTTTCCCCTCCGAACAAAAAGGCATAAAAAGACAATATTGGTGGATGTTGTGCATACTCCGAATTTGGTGGACACCGACTCCGGCCACAGGAGACTATACTCACTATACTCATTGCGAAGTTTGGGGTCGGAAAAGAGACACCATCGACAGACAGGTTGATATCTTGAATGTATGCCTGAAGCTGACTGTTGGTGCCGAACTGGTCAGCTCAGGCGTGGATATTTGCGAGACGTGCTTCGGAATGCCGGTGACGGTAGTGGCTATGAATGCCAAGAAGATGAGGGAGCCTTCATGCAGCTTGGCTTTTGCAAGAAAGATTCCCAAGATCCTTTCACAAGCACACGTGAGTTGATACCCGGTTCCAAGCTTCCTGCCCTGCAATCAAATTGGTTCCATAGATATATCAAATTTGACAAAGCTCCCTGAAATCCACATGAGTTCTCCTCCATGCCACAGATTTGCTTTCCGTTCTCCTTCCTTCCAAAATGCCGATTCACAGCCCTGCAGGCTGGCTTTCGCGAACATGTTGGATGCTGCTGTTTTCTCCATCCTTTTGCAGCGAAAGTTGCCTCACCTTCAGTGGCCGGAAGGCCTGAAGATGAGGGGTCGCTTGGTTTGGAATGTCAGACACAGTTTCCGGCCGATCCTTAGAGGCTTAGACACAGCACTGGATTCATGATAAATTTATTCATTTCAATGACCCCCCAAGTAGAAACTATCTCATTCCTTGCAAGTGTCACAGTTTGACGTTATTATTCGCAAATTACTGGAAATGATTGCCACCTTTTCCCAGCGCGTGGCACTGAGGTCCTAACACCGCTCGAGGGCTTCGGGTATCAATAGGAGTGCCATGGCAACCGTAGCTGAGGTGACTAAAGATAAACAGACTTAAGGTATCTTAGAATCTTAAAGATCCTTAAAGTATCTTTGATTTAGAGTATCGTAAAGTATCTGAAAGTGGTAAACTCCAAACCATAAATCGTCATAAACCTTCCCCAATGACTCACCAGAAACGGGTTGTGTAATAGTAATGTTGTCGTTGGTATCGGACGTCAACCTGCTCCTCTCCGAAGTGAAGTAGTTAAGACGCCATAAAAACACCTTCAATACAAATAGCCCCAACATGAGGCCGCCATCCTGTGCACACATAGCCTATAAAAGAGGCCGCCTTCCTGTACATAAAGTCTCAGCATGGGTGAGATTCACCGTTCAGAGCGTAAGCCGCCACGTTCACGTTCATGAGCACCGGCAAGAAGGTCAAAAGAGTCAAGCCAAGCTGGACATTGACCTAGCCTATCACGAACTCAGCAGCCAACTAGGCCAAAAGAGCCATACGAAGCATGGCATTGACCCACCGCCAACCCACCAAAGCTAAAAGAGACTAGCAAGAGTGCCTGTCATTGGCCCGCCAGCTCCGTGATGAACAAAAAGCGCTAGCAGAAGCTGCCACGGAGTAAACCCAGCCATAGCCATCACCGGGATCCAGAGATTGCCGCAAACTGAATAAAATGGCAACCAGCCATCTGCGCCCCAGCTGCCACAAAACTGTCCTGGTCCTAACAAGACCTGGTTCAAGATTCTGCCGACGCCGATGCCATTTGCCTTCCATGGCCCAAAACCTTCACAGGACTCCGAGCAAACGACAAGGCCTATGCGCTGTCGCATGGCCTGGAAGTGCAGGCCATACTCAGCGCCTGCTCCTTCCTTCTGCCTCCTCCAAGCAGTGCCATAGGGGCTCATCATGCAGGTGGCACCAACAAAAACCCTCACCAGGATCGTCGCCATCCAAGTAACGATAAGGGAGCAGACGCATCAGCCCCCCGACCGGGGAGGCATTTATTGATAGGTGTATTCCCGCGCAACCATTCCAGGCCATGGCTGCGCCCCTCCCGGGGGTTCTGTAATAGTAATGCAATTAAAAAATATAAGACTGTGAGATTGGTGCAGAGGTCCAAACCAAGTCTCTAGCTGCAGCACACGAAGTCCACAGCCAAGTTGCGGAAGCAGCGCCCTTTTCAAAGCGCAGACAGCGCAGCCATGTATTGGCGGTCAGAAAGTTTCCCACCCTGAGTGGGCAAGTGGCAATTGGGCCGGTATGGCCACATGTATAAACACCTTAGCAAAAGTGCAAGACAGACCTGGCAGGTGCAAAACATGCTATGGCAAAGGTTGCATGGAGTGCAAACTAACACGGGGAGAGAGCTATCTGTACAGCACTCAACCATGCATTGCTACAGGCCATGCAGTTGCACCTTGCTCAGTGATCCATGTCTCTAATTCTCTCAAAAGAGACACACCACGGCCATCCAGCGCATACGGAGTGATCTCACCAGTCGAACAGGTCGGGCACGGTTGAAATCTTCTCACTCCATTGGCTTCGTTCAGGCGACCACTGGGCAGGTTCCGGCATTGCGGTTGCGCATGCCAGATACTGTCGTTGGTGACCCAAATCAAGTCACTCAACGGACAAACATCAGCATGATCGAAAGATTCGATCAAAGCCCTTCGCATGATGTCCACTCCAGCATCACGCTGGCGATCAGCGTTTTCCAGAAAGTCCCGGTTTCGGGCAAAGTTTCTGTACTCTTGGGCTATATGCTGTTGCTCATAGTCCATCCTTGCAAAAAGTATTGGCAGGGCTCGGCTCTGTGCAATCGCACCCCGCGCATCGGTCATGGCGGCCAGATATCCATCATCAAAGGCCTTCTTGAGCTTGAGTTTGACGTAGGCGGCCAAAATCACCACCAAAAACATCACAAGCAAAACCATGAAAAACAAAATGCCAGGCTCAACTTTGGGCAGGGCTGACAAAATGCCAGCGGTACTTGTGAAACCAAGGTAGTAGCGCATCTTTTCGAAGATCGCTCCCTCATACACATTGATTCCCTCGGACTGTGGCAGGACTGTGTTGATATATTCAATCACCTCGTCGATGTGCACCATGTAGACACCAGAGGCGACAGCAGCATTCGCAGGGATTTCAGCATCTTGCGTTTCAGTTTCATCTCCAAGTTCTTCATCCATCACATCCTCATTAATGACTCGAAGTCGTTGAGGTGGCAGCGCAGCATGTTGGTCCATGTTGGCTTGTCGCTCTTGTGCAGGCTTTCTTTTGGCAGCAACGTATTGAGGATCCCAGTAAAATCCAATCTTCCCATGTCGAAGTCTGTTGGCAAGCAGCTGGCGGCTGCTCGTTTTGGTGAGGCCATCCGCCCATTGGCGTTCCGAAGAAACCCATCTCAGTTCTCCTCCAAGGTCTTGAAGAAGCTCCTTGATCACACGGATCTCCAAGGCAGTGCGGCGATCCGTCACATTCGCCGTAACAGTCTCTCGGTGAAAACTGTCATACAAAGCTTTTGCATCTGTGATCATGACTGGTTTCAAAGTAGTTGGCCTTCTCAGCAGTTCAGCCAGTTGTAGGTTGGGACATAGGAGGTGGTCCCAAAACTTGCAAACAGCATCAGTGGCATCTGTTGCTTGGGCAGCGGCCTGTGTTTCGGCGGCCAGTGAGCTCCGAGCAACACGGGGCAACTTCATCGATCGCCACTCCAGCATGTGGAAGTTGTCTTCCTGGTTGACCAAGGTGTGCTCTGGCACCAGGAGGATCATGTAGCCACCTTGAGAGGACCCGTCGGGCCTCGTCGAAAACGAAGCGTCAAACAAGGTGACAAGTCGAAGCTGTTCCACAGGACCCAGGCTTTTGTAAACCAAACCGACATCACCATTTTGTTTTGCAAACTTCAAGGTTCGATTGAGGTCTTGGACAGTGCTAACTTTGGCATTGTTCACCTGTCCAGCAGCTAGGGAAACTGAGGCCTGGAGGTGCGGTGAACTCTGCACGCTAGGCCACTGTAGTGCTCCACAAAGTCCACGGAGCGCAGTGATCTCCTTTGAAGTCAGCTCCACATCAGGTCCATGAGACCGAGGAATGGTCATTGGATGAATCTTCTCCACATAGGTCTGCTGAAAAAGCTTCAAACCATCTCCATCAGGTAGTTTCTCGATGGAGCAGCCACAGTATTGCAGGACGTCACCATCCTTCCATTCACGAAAGTTAAACACGGACTGCAGCTCTTTGATGATTCTTTGCCAGGTGGGCGAAGTTGGGCAACCCGACCCCAAAAGGTCGTCAACATGCAAACACACCATGCCGCATAGTCGGCTGTCACCAAGGGTTCCAGTTGTTGAGGCACCATCGTTGAAGTCGGCCTCATAGGCCAAGAAGCAGCAGGGATCCAGGTAGTGTGGTCGTAGACCAAGATCCTTCAGCCTTCTGGTGGCTTCTTGATACCATCTTCTCGGTGCATCTAACTGGCCATACACCGGTTTCAACAGCAGCATTCGGCATGTGTCTGGAGCTCCCAAAAGTCTCAGGCACTCAGGTGGCAATTTCACCCACAACTTTCGTTCTTGTGGAAGTCCTTGAAGAAAAGCTGTTGCCACATCGGCTGTCCAGGCAGACCAGCCTAGCAGTGCCGTCAGGCTCATCAGGAAGTTTCGAGAGGTTCTGGAAGTTGTTGGACTGCTGGTTTGCAATCCTTTGTCCAAGGCATCCACATCCAAGTAGCCACGGACTATCAACCTGGCTTTTGCTCTTGGACTCCCGTCAGGGTTCTTTGACCATTTGGTCAGGACACGTGCTGTCAGAGTTCGCTCTGGCTGAGCGTTTTCCACTGTGTCAAACTCCCAAACCTGGTTCTCGAAAAACGACTGAAGCTCTTTGCTTTTCGCCTCCTGAAACTTTGCACGATCATCAGGAGAGAGCAGTCTTTCGTTGATGGAACTGTTGGTAACCTTCTTGTGCTGTTTGGCCATCTTGATCTTTGTGTCCTTGCCCAAACGTTTGGAAGGCAAGCTGGCAAACATACCCATTTCACGGCGAGCTTTGCCAGAGATCTGGAAGATGGTGCAGCCGGTCCATTCAAAGTCCAAGAACCGCTGCTCAGCACCAAGGTCGTTGATGACCCGCAGTTTTCCATCAGCAGCTTTTGCAACCGTAGTGCGGTTGGCATCCAAAAGGTCAGCAGGGATCGGCACATCAGAGATCTCCTTGATCTTGAAGAGGCAGCGGCGTGGCCGTACATGGTGTCGAATGACACAGCCAGCTTTGACTTCCCAGTAGTCCATGGGGTCATTCGTCAAGCTGAAGTAGCCATCATCATCAATCTTCCAGCCATCAGGGATCTGTGAAGGATCCACGTCAAGTACATCAAAGGACTGCATGTAGTGTTCACGGACATCTCGATCTCGATCTTTCTGATCGTCCTTGTCCTTGTCATAGGGCTGGGATTGTCGTTGACGATGTTGCCGCATAGGACCAAAGATTGAGGTCTCGGCTCGATCCATCAGGATACGTCGATGTCGAAACTCCTCTTCAGGGCCGGCAGGCTCATAGAGGTTCAAGTTGGTAGATGTTGGTGCCGGTGGCATTGAAGAAGGTCCAGGTGGTTGCACTGGAAGAGGCTCAGGTGCAGCAGGTTCAGCTGCCATTGATGGTGCTCTGGTGTGCACCGCTGGTGTTTCAGGATGAGGTGGTTCAAGTCCAGGTTCATCAGAGTCCACATGGATTGGAGAATCACCTGCATCTTGAAGTTCAGGGCCAATCGGAGGTCCACCAGCTTCGTCTGGTGCAATTGATGGCGAGTAGCTCACACTGCGTTCCCCAGCTGACTGCAAGTCCAAGTCCAAGTCAGGTGGGTCAGCAATGGGCTCAGGAACCGGCAGAAAGTCCAAATCCGGTTGATCACCCGGTGGCAAGTCCAAGTCCACACCAGGATGATCGCCAGTGCGGCGTCGAGTTGATGGAGGTTCTTGAGGGTCTCCACCATCGCCATCTTCACCATCGTCAGGAGCATCATCTTGCATGCCCTCTTCATCATCATCCACATCATCGATGTTCCGGCGGTTCAGTCTTCCAAGGTCCAGGAATCGGGTGACTCCTCTGGATTTGAGGCCAGCGATGTCATGTCGTGCAGCTTGAAGTCCATCGATCGCGACCTGCAAATCAGTGAAGTCAGGCCGAACATGATGTGGTGCTGCTCGGATGAGCTGGGTGCGGTGTGCAACCCAATAGAGTCTGGGACGACCCTGCTCATCATGCTCCACCATAACCACTCGAGCAGGACCATGCCATCGAATCTTCTTGAGGTCAGAGGCACGGCTGTCTCTCCAGTAGAAGCAGCTTTGGCCCAGAGTCAGAGGCCCTTGCTGGCGTTGGTACTTCCGAAGAAGAGCACGCCTGAGCTTTCGATCCACCTCGGCAGCAGTGATAGCATTTCGAGCGGCAGCTCGACGCTTCAAGGTCTCCTCAAAGGGTTGGTTTCCTTCAAGGTGTGCTGGGCCAAGTGAATCTGAAAGAAGTTCGCCAGCAAGTTGAGGTTGATATCCAAGAAGCCATTGGTTTGGCGAGTAGCCAGCAACCGTAGTTGAGCTGTTCAGCTGTGGGATGGTGTAGGCCAGTGCCTGTCGAAGTCCATCGCGATCTGAAAGTCCAAGATCGGCCATGTAGATCTCCACAGCTTTTCGAAGAACAGCATGGCGGCGTTCCACCAAAGCCAAACGAGTGTGGGCTTCTCCAGGTGCTACCAAGTGCTCGACCATGTGAGCGCTAACCCATTCTTGAAACTCATCAGAGGCCCAACCACGGCCTTCATCGGTCAGCAAGGTCTTGGGGCATCCAAAGTGTCGCACCCAATGGCGCTCCAGCACTGAAAGAAAATGCTCAGAGCGTTCTCCATGAAGAACTCCAGCAGCTTGATAGCGAGTGGCCTGATCAAGCAGGCTCAAAATGGGGAACTTGCGGTCTTTGACCTTTACCCACATCACATCCGCTTGCAAAACATGGTTGAACTCCTTGACATCGTTCAACACAGCTGGTGGCACACTGTCGGGCTTTTTGTACCGTTCACATGAGGCACATGAAAAGTTGCGAGCCACTTCCAAGACCACATCGCTCGCTCCACGGCTTTCCAGGGTTTCCACCAAAGCCTCCATGGACGGGTGTCCCAAGTTCCGATGCAAACGTTGAACGCATCGAACAGCTTCTTGGCGGCTGTTGGTGAGCAACTGGATGATGCGGCCAACATGTTTCTTTTCATCGTCAGCGGCTCCAACAAAGTCAGAGATGGTTGGCAACTCATCCATCATCAGGCAGGCAGCCAGTGTGGAAGCTAAAGTGGGCTGGTAGTGCTCGAGGTAGCGCGTCCGACGACCAACATCAGGACCACTCCCTTCAAGCCGGCAGTGTTGATGATCACCAGCACATCGCCGTTGGAACTCCTTGTACACGGCCATCTTTGTGGTCTGCAGACCAGTTGGCTTTTGAACCAACCTCCATACCAAGTCGGTGTCTTGGCAGGTGCAACCATATTGGCATTGGTCAAATCTGCAGTAGAGTCCAGGAAGATTTGAAAGAGCACTGGTACGCCACGATCGAGCGTAGGCAGGTTGTTCCAGATGGGCGTGACCACCCTGCTTGATCTGCTTGAGGTACACCTTTTTGCAAAAACAAAGATGAACTTGATGATGCCCCTCTCGAAGTTCACGTAGTTGTTGCTGTTGTTCAGGTGTTCGTGCTGCAAGTCCTTGCATCAGTGACCAGGGTCCACAAGTTGGTGAAAGGTAGATCTCGTCAGGGACCTCTTTCTCCTGCAAGGCCAAGAACGCACGTTGGTGAGCAGGTTGATCAAAATCCCAACCAGTGTCGAGAGAAAACACCCTCACAGTGGCTCCAAGGCTCTCGGCGATCTGTGCCATGCGGCTGCGACCACCATAAACTTCCCAAATCACTCGACCACGATCACCAGCATGAAGCTCGGAGGTGATGTAGCCATGCATGTCATTGAGCTCCTCAGTCAGGCGGGCATCCATGGTTTGAAAAAGATGCCGTTGGCACTTGACTGTGCCAGGTAAAATCCATTCATCGCCATGGTCATGAGCTTGAAAAATCATCTCTTCACCGTTGAACTCCAGGAAGGTGCGAGGATTCAAGTCCACCTCGCCAGGTGAGGCCAACTGCAAGTCAAAGTGGGGCTCAAGGGCTGCATGGAAAATCTCAAAGTCCATGGAGAGAGGTAGCAGATACTCTCCATGCAGACCCATCAGCGCAGGCATCCATTGACCATCACCATACCTGATCTTCTCAGAAGAAAAGTCCAAAGCTATGCCAAGTTGTTGTATGATTGGCCGGCCACACAACATAGGCGTTTCACCAGGGACCATGAAAACCTGGGCAAAACCGTAGAGGCCATTCACAAACATTGGCATTCTGGCGACCCACTTGGCTACGCTTTCAGCGTCTCCTCCAAAATGAAATTTCCGATCACAACGGTAAAACAAAATGGTTTCCACAGGGTAGCCAAGTTGTTGCAGGTGTTTGAGGTACCTGCCCATGGGTCCATATCCACAAAGGAAAGCTGAGGCACCAGGGTCAAGCATCGCAACATCGGTGCGCTCATGCCCATGTTTGTCCATGAAGGTCACCAGGGCTCCCTCGGCATGCTTTGCCATCGACTCAGTGGCAGGAGCAGGTCTCTTGTTGGGGCTGCTCTTCTGGTTGTTGACAGGGCAGTTTGCGGCAAAATGCCCTTTCTGGCCACATCGAAGGCATTGCAGGGCAGCTTGGGCTCGTTGTTGTGGTTGTGCAGGTTTCATAGGCGCCTTGTCGTACTTGTACATGTTGGGCTTACCACCTTTCGATTTTCCCTTGCCCTTCTTGCCCTTGGGCGATCCACCGCCAGAACTCCTTGAAGGCGAGGAAGTGCCAGGCTGCAAGTTGGAGTCCTGAAGGGCAACAATGGGCAAGTAGCCACGGCTCAACTTCAGGTCATTGAACCTTTTCCTTGCATCCAGGTAGGCTGCATAGGCATCATCCCATGAGGCCACATCGAAGGTCGACGTAGTGCCATCATCAGGAAGGGTCGATTCAGCTTCCCAGTCACCAGTCTGGTAGTAGGCGGCGTCATCATCGAAGCCTTGTTCATCGAAGCTGGCATTGTCATCCCATTCCCAGTAGGCATCATAGTAGGACTGTGAGTCCCAATCCCAATCATCAGCGTCGCCATCATCGTCCAGCTCATCACCAAAGTAGGCTCGACCACCTTTTCCACGGTGCCATCGGCGGTCATGTCCAGCCGGGGCAGCTCCAAGCTTGTAGTCCTGACCCAAAATCAGGTACATAGCTTCTACAACTTTTGTCAGCTCGAGTTGCGGTGCCCTCAAATTGACAAGTTGCCTTTGTTCTTTGGTGAGGCCACTTTTCCGAAGTAGGTGCCATCCTTGTACTGCTGTCGGAAGGCTGACACCATGTTTCTCCAGTTTCTTGTGCAGCTCCGCATGGTCGCTGACATAGGCCAACAGCGTCTGACCAGGCTTTCTCTGAAGTCCAAAGTAGCCATCAAAGTCGCTGGGCAACTGCACTCTGGTATCATACTCAAAGTGACCATCTAAGAGCTTGATGATGCTCTCGAAGGCAGATTCCTTTTCACATTCATCCAAATTGAAATCTTCCACAAGTCTCCATGCCGAACCTTGAAGACTGCCGATGATGTTCAGCACGGCTTCTCCATGCCTTTTCGTCAATCCCATCTTCCTGTAGTAGATGTGGATCCTTTTCCGCCACTCCTTGTAGTCGGCAGGTTGGCCCGAAAACAAGGGGATGAAACTGTCACGGGTGGTAGCATCAGCTGAGGTTTCCTGCTTAGCAGATCCCGAAGCCATACTCCACAACGTCCAAGGTGAACTCCAAAAAAGGTGAGCTGGTCTATGCCCTTAGGGTTGATCAAACAGTAGAGCTCGACCAGGAGTTCTTTCCGAAGCGCTCCACAGCCAGGACCCAGTAGAGCTAGAAGTCCAAGAACCAAAGCTCCAAGGATCAGGCAGCGCTCCGCTACCAATGTGAGATTGGTGCAGAGGTCCAAACCAAGTCTCTAGCTGCAGCACACGAAGTCCACAGCCAAGTTGCGGAAGCAGCGCCCTTTTCAAAGCGCAGACAGCGCAGCCATGTATTGGCGGTCAGAAAGTTTCCCACCCTGAGTGGGCAAGTGGCAATTGGGCCGGTATGGCCACATGTATAAACACCTTAGCAAAAGTGCAAGACAGACCTGGCAGGTGCAAAACATGCTATGGCAAAGGTTGCATGGAGTGCAAACTAACAAAGACTAATATCAGCATGTATCAGCCATTTCCAGTTGGAGGTTTGTTGCTGTTATGCACGTTGCCAATGTGTTTCAACTGGCCTGCCTTCAGATGTCACCACCTTGTCACGCGACCTGAGGCGCTCTCTGGTGGCTACACGTCCAGGAGACCGCATGCCTCAACTGGACGAGTTTCCGGGCTGAAGTGGAGCGGAACCTCACAGGAATGATGGTTAATAAGGCCTTATTTCAGGTTAGTGAAATATGAGATTTTACCCAGACTAGTGTATTACTATGTATTACTATTGTTGTATATGAGCTATATGCTATTGATGTTTGACATTGGATATTACAACCCTCTGACTCTGTGCCTCGCACCCTCGCATTGATACGACACATCGTTAAACTTGCTGGTGAACCCGCTCTCGCATATTCTTGCTCTGCGAAGTGTGAAGAGTGTCTCGTGCTTGACTCATCCTCAATGACGTTAATGAATGAACTTTGCGATATTCATTGCAGGCAGATTACTTCGGCACCATAGTGAACCGAACTGCTCGCATTGCAGCCGCTGCTCACCCTGGACAGGCAGGTTGCTGTTGAATGATCGGTTGTGGTGTGGGGCGGGCACGTGAGAAACTGCTCGGTTGTGCATGATCTTGGCACCACGCTGTCATTGTAAGGTTGCTGTAACTGCAAATTGATATCAATTTTGACCGATTTGATCACCTTGACTTCTTCCTAGACTGCTTGACCAAGGTGCTGTTGGGTGGTGACACACCCATAGACCCTGCGGCCACGAGCCGACTACCAGGGCTGCAATGGCAGCAGCCTCCAGCCTTGCCAGGTGTGGCTGCCGGGGTGATTGTATTTACTGTAACAACTTGATGTTTGTCCATATGGCATTCATATTTAATTTTTTATTTCCAAAATTTTGATTTGTAAATTTGTAAACCGCTATTGCGTCTCAAGTGGTCCGGACTTCTTCCAGTCACTACACAAGAGGAACGATTCCAAGATTCTGGTTGCAAGCCTTGTGTAGTTCATGAGCGCCAATATGAAAAAACGAGACCGAAACCTTCAACTCAAGTCCACCAAAGGCAGTTGTCTTGAAATATGTTTTTTTTTAAACGAAGTACTGAGTTTGTTGCCCTGAGGCTATCCTCAAATGGTTCCACAGCCAACTCTAGCCTCACAGCCCGCGATGCCACAACCACCTGTGGCGACGGCGGCTGCACCCTCTCTGCTGCATCTTGGCCATGTGGAAGAGTGTCATTTTTGACGAGGTGTCCGTATTCTCAGCTTTTATATGGACAACTACTTATGTTCTTCCCAGGTGGGGCATTGGTCACCAAACACATGGTATAACGCGCCTGCATTTCATTTTTTTGGCCTCACTTGGGACAGTTTTTGGTATCAGTAGTGGTTCTATGCAGAGGTAGCCCCCCGAAGTCAAGATTGACGCTGCAGGTATCCTGGCATCACAGGATGGAAGGTGGGTCAGCCTGGGCAGCCTGTGCAGCACCCCATGGTGCAGCCACAGGGCGCACCTGCGCCGGGCCGGCCGGCGCCTGGGTCACTTCCCAATGCTCCAGCTGGCGCGCCAGGCTTGTGGAAGGGGGTTGGAATCGGGTTGAAATACAGGTAGGTAGAACTCGGTAGAATTATTTCAGACACATTTTGGGACCCCTTTGTAAGGATTGTGACTGTTCTGACTCGGAATCTGACATATAGGCTTGTCACTGGCCCTGGACTGCTTTTGGACCCTTTGGCAAATGGCTCTTCCGATGTGATGATTTGCAGCCTGGCTGCATTTCCAGGTTGGTCTCTTCAGCGTTTAGGTGCTTTTGCACTCAAGGCCAGATGTGGTCGGCTATATTTCAAACGTCAGGGAAGCTGGGGTTGATCGTCGTCACAATGGTGTTGGACAATAGCTTCAAGACATTTCCACATAATGAACCGGATCCAGTGAACAATGATTGTTTCGCTGATTTACACCAGTGAGATGGTGGTGGGGGTGATGATGGTGAGGATTGTGAAAGTGGCTGTGATTGTTGTGGGTGATTGTCAGAGATGATAATGATGCTGCTAGTGTTGATGCAGCTGGAAAGGAGAAATGGACGAAGTGACGAAGGGAACTTTTTCAACACAAACATCTCTTAAGCATGTGCACCACTGGCCAGGGGACAAGTTTTTATTTCCATTTTGAGTATTATAAGACGATGTAATTCTAGGGCCCCCCAGTTTTGACCGCATATCCGCATATCTCCCTCATGTCTCCTAAACTTGCAGGGCATTGACAGCCCCATCGTGTTGACCGAGCTTCGCTTGTTCGACGAGGGAGGCAGCTGCATCTCCAGGGTCCAACTTGGTTCGGTAATTGGCTAGTTGGGTAATTGATGGTAATTGGACATCATGGACCATCATGGACCATCATGGACCATCATGGACCATCCCCATGGCGCAGGCAACTTTGAGTCCTTCCCCGACCCAAAGACCAAAGGCCGCGTATCTGCTTGAGATGCACAGAGTCACCTCTGATTTGTTAGACTAGGGACACCTACTGTGCCCGTGTCCGACAAGTCTTAGTCAGCACAAAGTGCCACGGCCAATGTGACATGCTGCCGCGCAGCGCCAATACACGTCCTTTTTCCGCACACAGTTTGCAAGTAAGTTTACACGGACTTCAATCGCATTGATAAATCTTTTGATCGCGCCTACATCCTGCGTCAGTGGATGCTGTAACAATGACACACACACATACACACACGCACACCAGAGAATTGCAGCTGCATGGACGGCAGAATAGTGAGGTATAGGGTATGACTCCAAGCTCAAAGGGCACGACGATTGACAGATGACAAGGTTCTGGCAACGTCCAGGAAACACCCGATGGTAAGTCCATGAATCTTTAACCTTTCAGCTGCAGCTGGCCTGCAATCAAATGCACTAGCAGCAAGACTTTGTAATCATCCAGTATGATATGATAAGAAGAAGAGCCGTATTAATTACCAGGGGTGGCCCAATGGATTTCTTTGCATGCAACTTCTGCACAGCAGACCTTGCAGTGGGTTAGCCAGACATTTTTGAAGGTCACAGTCTATTAGTACATTAAAAGTGTTATATCCGATGGAAACAAGGACCTCAGGAAGGCAGGGACTGCAGTTGCAGAGACTGTATGAGAGAACATCACGTGGATCTTTTCAGGTTTTCAGTTTCCTTGCCGCACGAGACGGCTCCTCTGGGATAGGAATGCCTAGAAGTGAGGCATTTCCTTGAACAACTGCCTTAGAGCAAGTACCTCCTGATTGGAAAAGTCATTGAGGTTTGATCCAGTAAACTCTGAGTTGGTTGAACAAACACATTCACGCGCATTAGCAGAGAGCAACACTTGATGGGCTATTTTGCTCTTTTGGATGCTGGTAGAGCCTGTGACTGCCAAAGGCAAAGCAACCAGGCAGCCAGTTTCAGGAGATACCCCAGGACACAGTAGGGGGCCGCTTCAATAGCTGCCAATCGACGTTTGCAAAGCACAGAGCAGATGCTACACAATCGCTTTGGATTATACAATATTATATCACAATATACATATTTCAATGCTTCTCAACTTTCTTCGTGAACAGCAGCGCCAACATCAGCTGGCTTGAGCACGCTTCCTGGAATATCTTCATGTGATTTGAAGCCGGGAGATACTATATAACAGTAATTTGTCAGTATATATATATACACACATACATACATACTTGCTGGTGTGAGAGTCCAAAGGTTGCATGCTCACGTGGCTCAAAATCAGCCTAGGACAGCTTGTAGTCTGGTATATGTTGCAGCACAAGACCATGCTGAACTGGAATTCGAGGGTAAGAACCAACACATGACAAGGGTGAAATTATTTGATATATTTTGATATATTTTGATATCAAGATCCATCACAACTCGTTTTTTTTACCGGATCGGCGGCGAGGGACGCCATCTGCTCTAGTGCTGAGGACTCCCAGTCCATTCGGACGTCCCAAAGAGGCGCAACGGACGCCGCGAAGAGGTGGAGCCACGGACGCATGCGAAACGGAAAAAGACGAGGCTTCGAGATCTCCGAGGGTCGCCGAGGGTCGCCGAGGGTCGCCGATTGAAGGTTTCCCACCAGGTTTGATGATTTTGATGTCCTTTGTGTCAACTGACTCAACTTGCTTTTGTCCCACAGATATCCAAGCTTGTGACCAGAAGGCACACCAGGTCATCCAAGTTTTGATCCAGTCTGGAATCCCAAAAGGGCAAAGAAGCCAACTGAGCCTCTAAATGTTTGTCTGTTCTGGCCAGTGCCATTTGGCTCCAAAGAAGAACTCTTATTGATTTTGTTCAGACATTGCTAGCAAAAGCAAGCGCAACATGCAGCGTATTCTGGAATTGCTCTCCTGGGCCTGCAGCTCTTTTTACTCTTGCACGATTTATGACAAGACGCAAACAAAAAACTTAGACCCTTTGTACCCTTTGTACCCTCTGTCTCCTCTGTACCCTTTTCTATTCTGATCGCATGAGCTGCCCTTACTGCCTGGCTTATGCACCAGCTTCGGCATCGAAGGGCCCTTCCAGTGGTGCTAGACAACCCCGGCAACTCGAGCAGAGCCGGACTTTGGTCAAGGCACAGAATCGCAGTAGGATCAGGTTGGTGGGGCAATCCTGGGGTCAAACCTAAAGGTGAGATTTGTGTGGCTTTTTGCCATACTTGAGGGACAACATGGATATTTACATGCTGGGACAAAAAAATCACCATAACAGGTCGAAACTGCTTTGCCAATGAGAGAGATTCAAAGCGAGCTGTCGTTTGTTGTTGTACTGTAGTGAGCTGCTGCAATAGCTGTGTCGAGGCCTACTGGGAGTTTGAGGAAGGGGATCATTGGCTGGGCTTCTCTCCAAAAGTTTCATTTCTGCTGGAAGCGGCCTATCAGAACTGGCTTCAAAATCCCAGCGATGCATGGAGGCAATAGCCATCAGAACTGGTTTCCATTCAGTTTCACCTGCAAGCAGTGGATGAATTAGTGAAGGACGCACGTGTCATCGCGGAACCAAAATCTGTTCCAGCCATATCCACCTGAATCCACCTGTATGATATCTAAGGAGGTGCGCTCGCAGATCCACGGGAAGGATTTCCTGCTCGGAACTTAGAGAAAGACAGGTCTGCACAGTGGCATGGATGTTTCAGAGTAAGATGTCAGTCTTTACTGGGACTTGTTGTACAGTGACCTTTGGCTTGTGAAGCAACTCACTAATTCTGGCCAATTAGACTACGGTGACGACGTACTATCTTCCACTTGACAGAAGGTACAATGTCGACTACACCACGCTTCTCGAAGAGGGCCAGCGCCAAAGCCAGCGCATACGGCGAGTTGGTGTCACCCGGTTTAGAGTTATTATACCTCTTTTGAAATTATGTTTGAGATTTTGTCCGAAATGACCTGCCCCTAGATGAGTCAGGGCACTGAGGCCCCTTGATGCCATGTACCTGGCAATTTTTCAGATCTCTTTTCCAAATCCAGCAGTTCGCAAACTCGTTTTGATGAACATGATTTCAACCAAACAGGTGACAGCCGACGACAACGGTGGACATGACAAGGTTGGTGGAAACAGCCAGCTTCCGGTCCTTGCTGCAATGAGCAAAACGTAGATATTGCGTGAGCGCATTCCTTGTTTGAGAAGAGCTTAACCCCTATGCCTTTGCAAAATCACGAAAGGTAGCCTAGGCTACCTGAGTTCTATGTGCTTTAGTACTAGTTTAGTACTGGGGGAGGTGGGTGCTCCTTTCCCGGAAATTGAGAGCCGAGAGTCACGAACGGAGACTTAGGGGGGGGGCCCCCCCCCATTCGATTCCCCCCTGGTCCGCATCTCTTTCTTTCTTTTTCTCTGACTATGTACTTACCTCCTTATCCATCTATCTATCCATGTATCTATCTATTTAGTTGTCTATCTATGTATCTATTTATCTATCTATCCTTCTATGTATCTATCCATCTATCTATCTATCGATCTATCTATCTATCTATCTATCTTTTGATCGATCTATTTAGCTATCGATCTATCTATTTATCGATCGATGCTTCTATCTGTCTATCTATCTATCCATCTATTTGTTTATTTATCTATCTATCTATCTATCTATCTATCTATCTATATCCTTCTATCTCTCTATCTATCTATCTATCTATCCATCTATCTATATATATATCTATATATCTATTTATCTATCTATCTATCTCTCTATCTATATATCTATCATACATACATACATACATACATACATACATACATACATACATACATACATACATACATACATACATACATACATACATACATACATACATGACATACATGACATACATGACATACATGACATACAGACATACGCACATACATACATACATACATACATACATACATACATACAGACATACATGATGTAACATAACATAACATTACACGACTTAATGTGACATAACATTACATCACATTACATAACATTACATCACATTACATAACATTACATTCATACATACATACATACATACAGACATACAGACATACAGACATACAGACATACAGACATACAGACATACAGACAGAGAGACAGACAGACAGAGAGACAGACAGACAGACAGACATACAGACATACAGACATACAGACATACAGACATACAGACATACAGAGACAGACAGACAGACAGACAGACATATTTACAAACATACATGGATACAAAGGAGTTATCTGGTTAGTGGCCATAGTCAACTGGCCCCATGGTCTGCAACATACACCTAGAATCCTTTCTCGGGCATTGTAGAAGGAAAAAAAATACGACCGAGTTTTTCTACTCCGCTCACAAACTCGGTCGTAATTCTGTGGGGCATTTGTTGGCTCTGAATTCGTCACAGCCAAGCAAGAAAGCAACACTGGACACGTCATACCACTTATAATGTTTCATAGCTCTGGTTTACTAAGTCATCCAAATGGACTGTCGTCTATGTACTTGGCTTACACCCCCAGTTACCCCAGACTGGCTCCATTTCATTTCAAATTGGCCATTTCATTGCAAACTGGCTCCATTCCATGGATGAAATTTCCCTTTCTCATGGGAATCCATGGCAAAACAATCCTGTGGATGAAATGTCTCCTTTTCCCCCGCCTGCGCTTATGCCCGCCGGGCATAAGAACAGGCAGGCCCTTCATCGAACAGGTTTTGGGCCTAAAATGGTGAAAAAACAGCCTTTACCCTGCCAAACCTGCGCTGCCAAAGCCCCGCCTGCGCTTACGCCCGGCGGGCATAAGAACAGGCAGGCACCCAGGCCTGGACCAGGCCCTTGCAAGATGATTCCAAGATATGTAGGCCCAACATAGCTGCCATGGACGTACTTGGGGCCAGCAAGTCAAAAGCCAACAAAAAGCAACATACGCGCAACAATGGCACAACAAACCTGCAAGATGACCTGACATGGGGCTCAACAAGCGTCTGAAAAGTGGACGACATGGACGAAATTGAGCTCATGTTTAGCCCAGAAATGCGTACTTTCTGTGTTCTTGGCCCCCCCTCCCCCATTCGATTCCCCCCTGGTCCGCATCTCTTTCTTTCTTTTTCTCTGACTATGTACTTACCTCCTTATCCATCTATCTATCCATGTATCTATCTATTTAGTTGTCTATCTATGTATCTATTTATCAATCTATCCTTCTATGTATCTATCTATCTACCTATCGATCTATCGATCTATCTATCTATCTTTTTATCGATCTATTTAGCTATCGATCTATCTATTTATCGATCGATGCTTCTATCT